GTGAAAACTCTTTCAACCCAATTTTTTTTCTATGATTCCCTTTAGTGTTTCTCTTCATTCTGCTACCGATAAACCTAACCCAAAAATGCCTCTAAACCTGTTTTCCAGAAATGGGGAAACACTGTGTGGACGTGGGGTAAGTCCACACAACGTCGGTGCTACCTACATTATGTGGACGTCTTTTGTTCGGAAGTCCACACTGCGTATGTAAGACAAACTCACCCACCCACCCACACACACACCCACACACACACACACACACACACACACACACCCACCCACCCACCCACCCACCCACCCACCCACCCACCCACCCACCCACGGAAGGACAAGGCGGAAACAGTATGCCCCTTCGGCTTCGCCGCGGGGCATAAAAATACCCTAGACACAGCAACAAATGCTCTGGTCAAGCACTACATGTACCGTATGTATTGTTTTACGCGATACGCACCCAGCTGTTGTTGTATTACAAAACACTGCATTTGAATTGACCAATCACATGTTTAGTCCTGATTTGGGAATGAAATGAAGTCACGATTTAGTTAAGTTGACTCCAACGTTATACAGGAGACTTGGCTCCGTGGATAACGGGTGATACTCAGACTAGACTAAGACTAGGTACATGCATTTCTTACAAACTACATGACAAAATCCATTTAGACAATGAGTGCACATTTTATTTCGCAATGAAAAAAATACATTCCATCATCAATCTTTCCCCCACCTGTAACCAAACTTAGATCCCTTGTCATTCCCTTTACATTACAAAATACTTCATCATGTGGGCCAAAAATGCCTCAAGCATGACAAGTACCCTCATAAATGTGACCTTTGACACTTAGCTGAATGACAGGTGACATACATGTACACATATCAGAAATAATCTCAGCCATTAAGGCCAAAAAAAAAAATATTCGGTCTCTGGTCAGACCATAGTTCCGGAATTGACGCGGCGACGCGGTTTTTTTGGGGGGGGTGGGGGCTTCTTTTTTTTCTTCAAGCTTGGATTGTACAGACAAGGTGGGGTACTATTTTGCTTTTTTGGTGTCATCATGTACATTGGTGTCCTTCATAATTTGCCTTGGTGCTCTCGATCATTTGCCTTGGTGCAATTTCCCATTCCTTGGTGCTCTTCGGTAAAAAAAAATTGAGGTGCGGCAATAGAGGGCGCTGTTGGAGCTACCGCAGAACATTTTGGAAAAAAAAAAGATTGACGCGCATGATTAAAATCGACGCGCGCGCTGACCAGAGACCGACTTATTTTTTTTTTTGGCCTAACACTGGATTAAAAACAAAAATATTTACTTGAGTTTCAGAATTTCCCCTGAAAAATTGCAATCCCATGAATCACTTTGAGACCCTTCGAAACGTTTTCTGAATGCTGTCAACTGACGTATGACAACGGTTCTGTGATCAATTTGGTTTTAACCATTACTATATCTTCAGTGATTGGTTTGTTCTGAATGACAATATTTCTGGCAAAATAATTTTACAGGGCATTTGGTACCATCCCCTATCTTCACATTGAGCAAGGTTTCTCACTAAAACAGGCTGTCCCGTTTCTGGGTTACTTTGAGCAGATACATGTACATTCATTTCTTTACAACATGTACCTGTACTACATTATACATGTATGAACCAGATTTATCACAATACACATACACGTACATTTGCAAATTTTGCAAGTGTCTGGAGCCCTTTGTTCTGGTGTAGAATTATGCCATATTAGGCAATCCCAATAACGTTTTATAAAATCCTTGGGAATTGAGAGAATTTTGAATTGAGTTATTTATCCATGAAATGAAACTGAATGCTATTTTAGGGAGCATCCTGTTTCAATTCAGGTACTTCTGCACAAAAACATTCTTTCTGTGCAATCTCTGCTGCAATGTCATCTTTTTTCCGGATGTGGTGTGTGTTTGTTTGTTTGTATGTTTCTGTTGTTTGTTTTGTCTTTTATTTTCCCACCCAAAATCAGTTTCCCAGGTGGCCCCAGCTTGAGGCCTTGTGGGTGGTATTCCAACATTATTCAATGTTCCCATGGGTACCATTTGGGTATAAAATTGATCACTGGCATTGGGCCATAAATTTCCACTTTGTGCCTGCTAGAGGTGTGATGGAATTTTACATAGGAAGGTCACACCCAACTGGATCTCCTTGTCAAAAAAAAAAAAAAAAAAACACCCTTCAGGTTTTTGTTTCAATTTTGTTGATGCAAATTTTATCATTGCACAATAAGATACATTTGTACATTGTACATGTAACAGGGTCAGTTAGTTTACATACATGTATTTAAGGCAAAAAAAAAATGCTTCTGCTTCCGGTTTTCCTACCTCGTACCCTATTCAAACAGCCCCTACCCCAATGTTTTTATTGGACAAAAATGAGGAAAAAAACACCCAAAATCATCAATTTCTACCTTTTACCCATGACTACACGCAGACGCCTCCATATGATCTGACATACAACAACAAAATTGCAAAAAAAAATTACAAATCCCTACCTACATGTACCTACCTAACTTGGGTACCTAAACACGAATGTACCGTACATATATGTACATTCCACAGTACAGGCCTACCGGTACGTTTTTCTTAGATGTATGTTCGCGTTGTTGAATCTGTTTTGAGGAGAACAAACACATCATCTTTCATGTAAGTTTCCGTGCAACTTCCTTGTGTTCTCTGTTTGTGCATCATTATGATATGCACATTAACAGAGACTGGCTACGTGGCTACGCATCGTAATTTCATAGTACGACACACCATCAATCTGCCCCACTGAATAAATCACTAGGGGGCAAAAAGGGGGCAGCATTTCCTACTGGTCCCCATCAACGTATCTCACATAAGGTCCTTAAAACACTCCCCCCCCCCCCCTCCTTCCCTCAGGGGCTGAAGATGGCAACGATATTATTTACACAAAAATGACTGCCAGTGCATTTGGGTCTGCCCAAACATCGCGATGGAATCCTCCATTGGGTCAATATTGTCAGATGATGATATCGGCCAATGAATTCATCCTGTAACGATAGATTGTTGTCTAGTCCTGCGTCGCTAACCCAATTCCACTGACATCTGACTGCCAATTTAGAAAACCTACGTCCGTTATATTTTTTAATTTGGGGGGGGGGGTTAACAGATTAAAATACAAAACACATCACAGAAAACTTGGATAAAATCTATACCTTGCTTCAAAGAGGGTTTTTGAATTTTATTTTAACTAGCCTATGCATGTCCAAACATAAATCTACAAACTGGTCATTGGTGCAGGCTATTTAACAGTTATGTAATTTGTTGCAAAAGCTTTGACGAAATTTTTCACATATATGTCCATTTTAATTGTCTTGTCATAATTATATGTAATTGTAAAAAAAATCATTCTAAAAACAGGCCTACTCAAATAATCCCCTAAATTAAAGGGAATATACAACATTTGCTTTTGCTGTAATTTTCAGAAATAGATTGATTTGGGGTTTAATATTTTATAGCAAATATTGTTACACTGACCTTTTTAAAGTTTTGTGTTCATAGTATGCTTGAAAAACCAAGGGGAAAAAAATGTTTTTCTTGTAGTCTGATTCCCTGACCCCACTTCAGATGAAATGGACCAATTTATAGACGTCGGGGAATTGTAAGGTCAGGGAACCAGTCTAGCTGGCTTGCACCCGTTCACTGATGCGTAACTGATTGCAAACAAAATGTGGACTAACTAAATTTGGTAAATTGGGGGCAGTATTTGAAGTGGAAAAAACAGGGTTTTTTTGCCAACGATGGTCATGATGCAGATGAAATTGATGCAAAAATTCTACTTTTCTTGAAAATGCCAGCATATTGTGCCATGATTTTACAGGAATCTTGTAACCGTCAAGTAATATATTTCATAGTTATTTGGTAGTTTTTTTATTGATGTTTTACGTTGTATAAAATGCCAATGGTCCCTTGATCTCCCTCTTAAAAAAAACACACAAATCCAGAGAAAATGCAGTATCAAGCCCCGTTAAGTTATTTTTCTTAATATCCCCTTTAATGCCAATAAAAAGTCCTAATTACCATGCACACCAGCTGGGTAGGTGCTGATTGTCACTGCACCCAGTGTGCTGTGATCAATGTCTCTGTGTATGGTCTGCCCACTTGCCACTCCACAATGAATGCAATGGGGGATCCTTTAAAAAGCCAGATTGTGAATGGCCCCTGAACATGTGTAAACGACATGGTGTGATGAAGGTGGCAGGTTTGAATTGGGAAGGTTTCTGAATAGATTCTGTAATGTATGACTACAGGCAGCTTCAGGTAATTTGACAGGGCACACAGGAAACTCCCATCCCCTCTTACAATTGTATGCAGTAAACTGGTTTACAGCATACCACTAATTAAAGTTACACTGAAGAATTTTCATGAACATTAACACCCCCCCCAAAAAATAAAGGACGACTTGTTGAATAACTCAAACTGGCTTTGACTTTAAAATGTTATGGCTGTGCGCACAAACATTGTACAACAAATTTGACCATAATCCACTTAATAACGATTTGTGTAAGTACTAGTCATATTTTCAGTCATACCAACGACCCAGACTTGTAAAGATGTTCCTCATATCACAACACATCATGGTTACAAACAACCAGAAAAAAAAAGTTTATTTACTTTTGGCTGAAGTGCAAGCGCTTGTCAAAAATGATGCATAGTACAACAAAGTAGCAGAATATTTGGCAGGATAGTCGAGATAAAAATGTGGTTTCTTTTATGAAAATACAGTATAACAAAAAATGCAAACTCCCATTAAATTTCCTGTGGATTGATAAAAATGTGCAGTGACAAGTCAATGGGATTGTTAGGAAATAGAACATGTCATAGTGGAGTGATAACTTGGTGGTTTTTTTTCTAATTTACTTCTTTTTTTATAAGATGGAATTTTGTGTCGGGGTGATATAAATCAAATTAGGTTTTGCCCTTCACCGACGTTTAAACACTGTATACGTCTGAGTATACAGTGTTTAAACATCGGTGAAGGGCAAAACCTAATTTGATTCTTTTTTTTTAAGAACTTTGAGTTCAGAAAACCAGAAATAGGCCCTACATTTTACTGGTTTGCAAGACTCAATTTTTATTGGGAGTGATTTTTAATTAAACAAATAGGTTCTGTTGGGATGGAGTAATATAAAAAGCACACAAATTAATCAAAACTATCACTTGAGACTACCACTGCTACCAGTGATGCAGCTTGCATACGGTACCTGCAAAATCAGTGTTATAATGCAAAACATTACAATCTGACAAAGGTTTGGAAAGCATTTCCACCTAGCACCAAAGAAAAAGATGTGGCCACACTGTCAGTTGAAGAATTTACCTACCGCGGTAGGTCCAATTGTATGATATACGAATGGACGCGGAACGCCCCAAATCTGAGAAAAACAAAACTTAGTGTACAAAAAATTCCACAGGTGGTCTAAGGGGCGTGGCTAACTCGCAAACGGCGATACATGTAGGTCAATTAGGATTCAAAGTGATGCATGGTAGATTGTACATTTTTTATATCCACTTGAGGCACTTTGTGCAGCACCAGACAAGACAAGACGAGGGGAACTGCGTGGTTAAGCACATATTGTTGCTCCTATTAAAAAAAAGACTCAAATTAAAATAACAGGGCTTGAAATAAGGGATCTAGATAAACTTACCCTTTCTTTTCGTGAGGTGCTTGCTACTCCCAGCTTATAATGCCTTTGTTCTTCAGGGATTTGCATATGTTCAAATGTTCTCCTTTGACGGATCAGGGAGTGTTCACAGGTACTACAGGTGAAGATGGTATTCCCATGTTCTAGGACTACGGCCCCCCGAGGCCTCTCGATCCCAAGCAAACTGGGGTACTCCTTGGTGCTCACAGTGCGGACATCGTCACGGGAAGTCAGGTGGCCACAGATAAAGCAGGCAAACTCATGAACGAAATAGTGACGCAGCCAGCGATTGTTGTCCGCAAACGCCTTCGAGTCCTCAAAATCCTGCCACTGGGCGATCAGGTTGAAGTAGCAGAACATGCAGCTGAGGGCCGTGCCGTCTGCGTCGATTGGCGCCGCGCTTGGAGCGGGATTGCGACTGGCAAGGAAGGGGAAGAACGGCGTGGCCTCGTCGATGTTGTTAGTAGTTCTGCGTGGGTAGGAGTGGACCTTGTAGAGCCGGTTAGGGTCACAGTGGGCTCCGCACAGGAAGCAAACTCCCTTGGTGTATGAGCGGGTGTTGGTGGGGGAGCTTAGCTTGTACTTCCCAACGTATCTTCTCTCACTGTGCGGGATGCCCTCTGCCTGGTAGACCTTCCACTGCTGCTCAAGCTCCAAATGACAGTTGCTGCATATCAAAGCTCGGCCCTCAGCATCAATCGGCTTGGCTTGGGAAGGTTTTTTAATGTTGGCCAAAAATGGGAAGTACATGACGTGGCTGTTGTCCTTATCTGGGGCCAGGGTGTCAACTGCTTTAGTGTGTTCAGGCGGCACAGTCTGAGCACACAGGTAGCAGATCTGTAGCTTGTGTCGTTTCTCGGCCTGTTTGAGCAAGCTTGTGTCTGCGTTGGTGTGAGGGCGACTCTGCTTTTTAGCTTTGTGAATGCGGTACACGCGCTTGTCATGGGGAGTGTGGGTAAGTTCATGGGCATTCCACTGCTCATAAAGATCTTTACTGCATGGCAGACACACCTGAGCTAGGCCCTCCTTGCTCAGAGGTGCACTGCCTGTTGGTGCAGAGTGCTTGTCTAAAAAGGGGTAATATGGTTCACTGCTGTTGTACCGTCTGGCACGTATGAGGTGCGTGTCTGAGAGATTGACAGCTTTCCCACAGAGAAAACAGATGATGTGGTTGGGAGCACCCGACACTGAATCGGGGTTAGGATCAGCCTCGGAACGGAGGTGGTATTTTCGCTGATGGAGGGGCACACTGTCCCTTTCAAATGAATGCCACTGCCGGAGAAGAAACAGAGTGCAGAGTTCGCACATCAGCACACGGCCAAGGTTGTCCACTGGCTTGGCCCCAGGCGGAGCTGGGTGGCCAAGAATACATGGGAAGTACGGAGCCTCTGACTTGGACCAGTGGCTTGTGTGCACAACACGAGTTGATTGCTTAGATGTTGTTGATCCACAACCATAACAGACAGTCACAGCAGGTATATCCACATCCACACTGTCAAATGAGGTCCTTCGTTTGTTGTCAGCTGTTTCAGCCGTGACTGAATATCCGTTATCTTGTTTGCTGTTTTCACTTCCTGGGGGTATTGTGGTAGAAACTCCTGTGTCCGAGTAGTGCGCATCTCGAATGTTAAGTTTGTACATTTCCTCGCGAACCTGTGGGCTCACTTGCATCTGGGGGTCTGGTTTGTTGCCATGACCTCCTCCAATTCCATCACTGCGCTTCAACCAATACAAGCGCTTTACTATCGGCGTGTTGTTGCTCTCGTAAGCCAGCCATTGCTGCTTCAAAAAAGCCAGGCAGACCTGACAACAATCCACGGTGCCGTCCGGCCGAAACACAGTACCTGGGGAAGCATCGTGGTACTGGAGAAAAGGAAAGAACGGTTCGCTGGCGTGGGGACGGCTCCTCAGAGTGGCGTCGGCCCCACGTGCACCGCACACGTAGCAGTTGGGAAGCATACGGGAGGCCCGTGAGCGCGACGGTGCGGCCGGGGAACGCGACTTGCCCTGCCCGGTGCTGGCCGTCGGGTGCGGGTGTTTCGCGGACGTTGAGCGCTCCTTGCCCGGTCGAGTCTCGCCAGCCATGGCCAGCTCAAAAATTCACCGCCGTCACTATGCCACAGAGCGTCGAATAGCTGCTAGATTTGCCCCAGAGATGCACACACATTCCAAGACTGAATTGCCAGATTGTGACAGGTTCCTGTGCAGATAGCTAGCGTGAAATCAAAATAACACTTCCGACATGACAGCAATCCACACGCTCGCTGCGTCGGCCGCCATTACTCGTGTGAATGAATGATTATCATGCAGCTTTACCCACAATGCACCAGTCGGCAAGCTGATGGAAACATTGGCCCCGCATCATGGATAAATCAGAAAACACGTGCAACACGTGTCCCGTTTGTTTTCGTCTGCCCGTTATCAGCTTCAGTACACTGAGAAACAAAAATGCAGTGAAATCATACTGCATTAACAACGAAGCACCCCGGCCCAATGCTTTTAAATAGTTTTAAACAAATCAAAGTGTATCCAGAATAAACATACATTCCCTCTTTAACAGAAATGGGCATATCATTGAAAGCCGGCGCAACAACCACGACAATAAGCGGAATATGCACTATCAGTGCTGCCGCTGTCGAATATTAAAATCATAAACACAAAGAAAATGCTTTGTGACCAGCCGGCCGCGATGATTGTAGTGAGGTTGTATTTGGATCATGCGCTTACAAGCACTCACTGCCTCATTCATAAAGACACATGGTCAATGCTTTTGAATTCATAATAAATCTGCCAATCGGTATTGTTCCATCCCAGCAACGGACGTCGTCGATTTTTGTTTCCTTCTCACTCTTTAATAATAATATCTAACGGGGAACTGGCCTGTCTGGCAACCAAATATATATCATCCTGGCAAATAAAAGCAGGCGAGCAGGCGAACATGCGACCAGGGGCGTTGTGTGAATGCACACTGGGTAATAAAGCGGATCGTGCACGGTGCAGCTGAACCAGGTGTCCGGCCAGGCAGCACGGCCGGCCGTCATGGGAGTGATACGGCCCATTCACCCTCCGGATTTGCCTACCCGTTTTACGTGCCCCCACATGCATTTGCAGATCTGGCTAGTTGATAATATATCAGAACCCCCCTGGCTACTGGAAATTATCTATTAAAGGGAGTGACTTGAAGAAAAACAAAGAGCGTGAGAACACCCGCAACAGAAAACTGAGGATATTCCTTCTTCTTTTTTGTAATGCAGTGTTTTTGTGATGTCCGGAAGGGGTAGGATGGAGAAGGTACACCTCCCCGGCCCCAGGGCTTCAGGAGAGAGAGCCAATTCCAGGCCGGTTCGGTTGCGATTTACCGAGTCAACTTGTATACAAACGGTCGGCAGCTGTAATGTAGTAAGCTAAGGCACAGCACAATAGCTGACAATAGAGCCTGAATGTGGTGGCGTGCTTCCGAACCCTCGAATATGAAAATTAGCGTGTAAAAGTCAGAATTTTAAAAATGTATTTTTGGTACATAAAATTCTTAAGAAAATAACCCTCTGAGAGAAAAGGCCTTTGTAAAATTGTTACTAGCATCAATATCGTGCCAAGATTCAACCTCTCACTTCTGAAAATCTAAAATACATGTGGACTCTAGAAGTACTCGTACCAAGATGAAAATTTATCAAATAATTTTGTTGCGGTATTGGGTAAAAACTTAATCTTAAATAGGAGACTAAAATGTCTTTTGGGACACACAACTTTTTTGAATAAACTCGAAGGACTAATACTCATTTACAAACAAATCTAAAATGACCGTTAAAGTTGGTGTAGGCCTATACGTGCTTTTTGGGTGAGGCACCTTGACAAATAGATTTTCAAATTTAATTTATAACCTTTTTAGCATGACATTAGTTATGAGCTTTCCAATGAGACATCGCACTGAAAAAAAAACGACAAGCTATATCAATTAATTAATTACAACTTTTGAATTTGGAGCGGAACGCTCCTGTGCGCAATTTCTGAACTGAAGCGCGCCATTTAAAACCACTTTATACAACTGTATAAAGGCCTGCAAAGCAAACAAACAAATGTATTTGTTACAGGACATTATAAGCACGTATATACCAACTTAAAGTAAGAACTGTATTCAAGCAAGCCCAACTAACTCTAGAATCCATCGGATGTATGAAGGTACATCTTCGCGTCGTTATCATTTTCGTTCTCACTCAAGTACGCGATGTGAAAACAAACGTGATCGAACGAGGAGACCTATACGAAAATCCGGATGTGAAAGGTCGTAAGTAAAATTCGTTTTTACCCATCCCCAACCAGCGGCGTAGCTACGAAGGGACGTGGGGGGGGGGGGGGGGCGCACGCTGTCCCAGCGCCTCCTCCACTGGAAATTTGGCATCCGGAGAAAAGCACAGCCGTATGAGTTACCATGATTAGCTGGAAGAACGTAACTGTCGCTTTTTCCCCAATTTTGTGCGTATTTTTTTACCAAAACCCTTTCTTTTCGCGAGAGGCTGTTTATTTTAACGTCGATGGAAAGCGAATAGCGGTAGTTATTGTCTAACATTAACCATGATGTAGGTTTTGAACAGCGCCCCTATGGGAAAAGAGTACCCAGCCCCCCCCCCCCCCCCCCCCCCCGTGTTACTATTTGATTTTACGGAGGTCGGGCGTCTGGTGAAAGAAAACTGTCTACCTTTCAGCACAGATGACATTTTTGGGCGCCCCTCCATTGTAAACCTCAAGCCCCCCCCCCCCCCCCCCCGATGAGAACCCACGGCTACGCCGCTGTCTTCAACTGACTTCTCATCATTTTTGCCTTGTCGAATGCCAAGATAAACATTCCAACATGAACGTTTCTTGGGGTGATATTACGGTTTGAAATCATTGTCAACGATTATAGTAAGAGAAATGGAAACCCTACGTAAAATGCACACACAGGGTCGCGGAGGGGTCCGGAAGCTCAAAATGGCGTACTTTCAGACTCTATAGATCGTTTGCAGTGCCTTTTTTTTTCAACCGGTTCCTGTTTGAGTATAGCGCTCTTGTGCATTAATTGCTAACAAAACCACCTCCAAAAAAAAACAGCTGCTGGATGCAATCGATCTTATTGTCGAACGAACTTGGACCATTCCAACTTGAGCGGTATAATTGCTGGAGACTGGGTCTGTCTAAGTAGGAAATTGTCTGAAATTTTCTTGAACGTTACTCATCGTAACATTGGGGGGGGGGGGACACTAGGGAAATAATTACAGAAGAAAACGCGGCAATGCCACGAATTGTCGTCTCTGGAGCATTCCAAATGATGGCCTCCGAATTCTGGTGAAATGTTTGGTTTTTCTGTCTCAATTGCGCAACTTATGTGCTTTGAAGCTCATCTGATAGGATTAATTTACTGCACATGCCTCAAAACAAAACCCACGGTTGAACACTTTATCGTTAAAAGTATGATTGTGAAATTTTTCTGTTTCATTTTGCCGGCAAAATAATACACGGTAGCGGCAGTATCACAACTGCTGTAACTGAAACTTAATAATAAGTTATGCTTGGGTCATTAATTCGGGGCGCAGATTATTGCGTATATTACATTGTAAAATGCAAGTTTGTATATTTATGTATTTATTTATTTATTCCATTTCTTTTCCCAGGGTATGCCCAAACAGCTAAAAACTGGTTTCCGAGTGGGGCCCTGCATGCACAACAAATAATATTATTCAATAATGTTAAGTAATGTTAAAGTCATATTGCACGGGCATTCATGTACACGAGACGGTTTGGTCTTTGGCCAGCTGACCTTTAGGCCGAGTTTGGAGAACTCTTCGGAGAAGATGGAGGGGGCGGTGACGGTGGATGTGCAAGGGCGGATCCAGAACACAATTTTTGGGGGGGCCAAAAAAAATTTTGGTCCCCCCAAAAAGTGGGTCTAAAAAATTACGGCGTGGGGTTCGGGGCCCGCTAGGGCCCCGACAATTTTTTGGATTCTAGATGCTCTGTGGTGCGATCTGAGGCAATTTCTGACCACTTTAACCAATTTTTTTGAGGAAAAGATGGTGGTGTACTCATTGCCTGCCTTTATTGCGATGTCACATTAAAAAAAAAAAAAAATGGTTTCGTTTTGGGGGGGGCCATGGCCCCCTTTGGCCCCCCCTGGATCCGCCCTTGTGGATGTGGAGGTCTACGGTGAGGCTGTATAGGCATTCAGGATCACGCCAGGGATACGCGAGGCAACGACAGATACCACAATCATCGATGGTGACATTGAAGAGGTCAGACAGCGCTGCAACAAAACCTTGGCGGCGAACTCCGGACAGTAACCAGTCGTTGTCTCTGGCGATGACTCGGATGCAACATCTCTCGGGGTGTCATATGGCAGCAAAGAGGTTGACATTTCCGGATCGAGAAGGCCGGTTCTCTGTAGGTCTAGCCATAAGCTAGAGCGGTCAACCGAGTCAAGGACAGCTTTGAGGTCGACGCGGGCAATCTGGCAAGATCTCCCCGTTTACGAAATCAGTTTGCGGGCCTTCTCGTTAAGGAGGATGCGGAATGACTGTTATGTGTGGTTAATTAATTTTGATTGGCATGGATCCCGCTGTAGCTGATGGCTGGGGACAGGACAGCCCCCTCAATACTGATACATTTTCACAGAAATTAGGATGTAGTTTGAATCCGGGTGTCCTGAAGGGAGTACATCTGAGACCCATTGTGAGTTGATGATAATTCTCAGTCATTCTATAGCATGGCATCACCAAATTGTTTCGGAAACTCGGCGGTAATGCAACAGATCCTAGAAGCTCGGCCGTTCTTTATAGTTTGCGGAGACCTTACTTCACCTCGTCGATGGTGACTCCGGGTGATTTTGCAGGCATTCGTGGCTTGCGCTGACGTAGGCCTATACCTGAGTGGACGTGTTGGCTTCGGATCCTTTCGCGAAGTCGAAAACCGAGTGTAGTTGGTTGGGCTGATAACGGCCACTCGGACATATAGCTTACCGTTCACTCTATTATATATGTCGGGAAAAGCTCAAATCCGACGTTGGTCGCAGGGATAAATCCGAACGCACTTGGTTGGACGTGTCGGTTTTAAATCACCTCGTCGAACACTGCAAGCAGGACGTAGGCCAGGCTGAAGAAGCAATATGCTAGCCGTCCGTAAGTATAAGGTCCGGCCACAGGTCGGCAGCTAAAAGTCAGTACGACCGTTCCAAGACGTACTGTGACCGACGCCGACGATTTGGTCGACCGATTGCCGACCGACGTCAGTGTGCTACCCGGCCGGGAAGCGTCTATTCCAATCCATAGTGTGCATGTCATGCAGCCTCGCGGGCCGGGGGGGGGGGGGGGGGGGGAGTTAAAATACTGTTGCTCTTGTGCTATGATTTGTAGTGGATACAGCCTGGCAGCAACAGCTGCATCAAAATATCATGTTATACTCCGTCCACCAATTTTATAGGACTGTATATGTGCACAATTCAGGCCAGGTGAAGTACATGTAATTTCTTTCAGCCACGGAGGCCCTGAGCTGGCTGATTAAACCATGGATGGAGAAACAAGGCCGTGTCACTTCCAGTTTGTGAAGACGTGGTCACTGGTCAGTACGAGAACTCACCATGTTTTTAACAGAAGTACATAAGGGATTCGCACCCCGGGGATTTAACTTTACAAAAAAACCACGTCTCCGACTTGTCCGACCTAGAATCAGGAATGCGGAATTCAAATCACCAACTGGAGCATTCGGACGCTTCTATAGCTAGCCTCATTCAATTGTTTCTACTTGCAAGCGCAAAAACTGCCATGTGCACGTGCGACTGTTATTGTGAAGGGCGACCTCTATTGACATACTATCAACTCAAATCTTACCCCCTGACGTCTGCAGCAGTGGACGCACCCATTCTTTGGATCAGACTGTCACCGGAATGTGCCGCGCCGGCGCGCCGATCACCTGCCGGTACGGGGGTGAACAACAAAACCAACCGGCGCCAACGTAGAGAAGTAAACGTCATTCGCGGTATTTTATTCCATAAGATCACTTATAACTGGACGATTTGTGAAGACAAACACAAGGTTTGACACTTGGAAAGATTTGTTAGTCAAATTGGCTATAGATAGGTTTATAGTTTTGGAATCGTTTTGTGCATGCATAAAAGACTTTAGTTTTAAGTTTATTAAGTGAAATACTTTTTAGCCGGCTTTCTTTCACATAGCCCCATAAATGTGGCCTATTTACTGGACTGCCTCCGTAAACATAGGCCACACATCCACATGTACAAAAACGTGTCGACTTTGCCAAATTTCGATTTTAACATTTAGGCTTACTTTGTAGGTTTATTTTGCTTTAGAAGCATTCTCACCCACTATATAGGCTAATCAGAAAGTGCTGCCTTTTTCAGATGTTCATTTTTCGTGAAATTTCCAGATACATTTGCACAGGTTTGCGTATCAAAATTTCAACATGAAATTTCACAAAAATTAGACATCTGAAAAAGGCAGCACTTTCTGATTAGCTCATATAGAGGGTGAGAATGCTTCTAAAGCAAAAAAAAACCTACAAAGTAAGCCTAATTGTGAAAATCAAAATTTGGCAAAGTCGACACGTTTTTGTACATGTGGATGTGTGGCCTATGTTTACGGAGGCAGTCCAGTAAATAGGCCACATTTATGGGGCTATCTTTCACAGTGCACAGTGAATCACGAGGAAAGATTCCCACATCTGGCCATCACTTTTCACCCTGTGCACAAACCCTATGAGACTGGTCTGAAAATTTTTAAGTGTTTTCTCAGTAAATTATACTTCAATATTTTCCCTGCTAAATTTGACTTTTTAGGACATATGAATTAGGGCCTAGGGCCTAGTCCGAGTAACTTGGACCCAACTTATCGCCTTTTTTAACATTTGGACATGGTCTGGCTTACTATCGCCAGACCATGTCCAAATGTTAAAAAAGGCGATAAGTTGGGTCCAAGTTACTCGGACTACCTAGGGCCTATAAACTTTCTGATGGCCTTAGGTCACTGAAGGGAAAAATTAGAAGTGGAAAAAATATTGCAACCCGACGCCACTTTTTTCTTCATATATCATCTCAATGAAGGTCAGTCATTGCAAAAATGATGATGAATCTGGGACTGAGAAACATTTCCAATTTTGTTAGGAAATACTTTTCTCGACTTGAACTGCTGAAGTGGCGTCAGGTCGCAACATTTTTCCCAAATTAGTGATGGCCAGATATGGGAATCTTTCCGTCAGACAACTCGACTGTTGATAGCCCCATAAATGTTGCCAACATACTGAACTACCTCCGTAAATAAAGGCCAAGTTTAACCATAAAAGTGCATAAAATTAAGGTAGTGTATATTTTGCCGGAGGTAACGCCGGCAAACTAACGTTTACTAAAGGTTTGCCGGCGGCAATCCATATCAACAGAAGGCGCTGTACTCTTTAAGATAGGGCTGAATTATAACATGTATTAAATTCCCACCAAAGTTGTGTAGCACAGTCGGTGCAGTGGTTAAGCAATAGCTCTAGTGAGTGGGATGTCCCGAGTTCGAATCCTGACCCCCGCCACAATTTTAAGGTTTTTTTTTCCAATCCCCAAATAAATAAGAATATTATTCTTTTATTATTTTAATATGTCTCAAACATTTTATTGCAGAGTATTACTTTTTCTTTTTCAGATTTGTGGCTCTGGAGGATTTTTTTTTAAAGGGAAATAAAGTCTGAAATTATAAAATGGTCTGATTCCCATCTTGTTAATACAAAAATACAACGATAATATTGGCATGGAGCCAGACTAAAATTTGTCACCGGAAAATGTTTAAGTACAAAAAAACAGTAACTGCGCATGTTCAGTGCATATCCGGCAAACTAACGTTTACTGAAGGTTTGCCGTCTCCGGCAAAATATCCACTGCCTAAAATTAACAGCCACTTGCGAAGAGAAAGGTTTTTAGGTGGAAAATATGTACCAAATCGCGGAAAATGGGACATTATGTTCTTCCACTGGAAGTTCCAGCTAATTATGGTAGGCCTAACTCATACGGCTGTGCTTTTCTCTGGATGCCAACTTTTCGGGGGGGGGGGGGGGGGGGGGGGCAACTGGGGGGGGGTGCTTGAACTTTGTAGGGGACGTTGTAAGTCCAAACTTACTACATGTACCCTGTTGCCAGCTATGGGGATCCCAAGTGGGAATGCAGTGGAGCGTGACTCATGTACATACGGGTAACACTGACCACTGAGTCTCGAGAAGGTTAATGAGGGCAATCAACCGTGTCCAGGTAGCCAGCTACGAAATGGATAGATCGAGTGACGGGCTATCCTGCAGTTGTACTGTAATATTTTGCTGACTATCTCAGCATTGCTGACTATCTCACAAACAGTCAAGCATCCCAAGATTGTGTTTGAAAAAGAACAAAACTTTTGTGGCTTGGAAAAATAAACAACAGGATATAAATAAAATATGTTGAATGAATCGTAGACACAGGTGTACTTCCTGTGCACAATACAAAAATCAGTATCAGTGTAGACCACGCAACCCCCCTAAAAAAAAGGAAACTTGCCTTAAAAATATAAATGCAGGCAGGAAACAGCAGATTCTCTATACTCTTAGGCCATTCATTTTATTATTGTTACTTCATTTAATTAAAAAGGTAATTAAATTCAGTTAGAAATAAAATCAGTGCGGTGATTTGTGCTTAATTTCTGCGTGAAGTCATCTGTAACTAATACGTAATTGTTGATACAATAACAGAACACGCAGTGGTTGGGACTTGTTTGCAAAACAAACAGGACGCATTGGGTTGTTTAAAGGTTTGTTTTCAGAAATAACAATTGATATAAATTTCAAAGTTTTTTGTTGTTGTTCATCGTCAAGTAATTGGACGTAAGGAAATAATATGTGATGGTATTGGCAAATTGCCAAATACAAATTCCATGCTTCATATTAGAGTGTATTTCAGGGAATATAGCACTTACTTTATTTTCCCTTTTTGGGGTTGATCTGGTGCATTGGAAATAATTATAATTAATAATTTGTCAAAACTTTTGTTGTAGCTCCGAGCAACAGTCGTACAGCTGAAGCCTGAAAGTAACAATACAACACACTCAGTTTGGGATTCAATATTATTTGCAATGCATACGGTCAGCGCAAACCCCCCCCCCCCCTTAGTTCATATGTTTTATATTCACTTCATGCAAAATATATTCTGTTTGTACTGTTTATTCAGTGGTTAATCCATGATCATAAAACTTGCCTTTCAAATTTTACCCTTTTTCCCCCTCTCACAGGCATTGAAGCGAAGCATTCAGTGTGACATGCACGAAGAGACAGAGCGATGTCATTCCTATTAATAGAGAGCAACAGGTGAACTGTTGTCGCAGCCTGAGTACCAGAACCAACTGCAAGCTTGTCACAGGCCAGTAATGCTTGGAAAGCTGTCTCCGACAGAAACCTGGAAAAAAGAAATCGGCGGGCTTAGTTTGCCTGTAACAGTCCATGCAGAAGACTTTAATAAAACCAGTGCCAGAAATCATTTTGGCTATCGAAAATCAGAAAAAATAAATAAAAATGGACAGACAAACGCACCAGTCTTGGAGTGATGAGGGTACCAGGACAGTCGGTTCCCCCCGCACGACGGAGGCTGTTCGGATTGCGCAGGGGACCAGTGAGAAAGCCTTACCCCAGTACACACTGGATGAGGTGGGGGACCATTGGGAAGCCAAGTCCTGTTGGGTTGTTCTCTTCGACCTCGTCTATGATGTCACCGAGTTCTTGCATCAGGTATTAAAAAAAAGGGAGATCGGGGAGGGGCTTAGGGTTAGTGGGGGTGAACAGTTTTGTTTTAAGTCCTAATGGACATTGCAAGTAATTCCGATTGACTATATTCACAATTTTCAGCCAAGCAAGATGTTATCCTCTGTTAAAGGCACATAGGAATATCTGCAATTTCCCGGAAACGTATCTACCGATTCAACGGGAAATCCTTGCTAAAAGTGAAGTTGGGAATGGTACCAAATACCCTGTGAAATGATTCCGCTTGATTATGGTGTCATTCAGAAGAAACGATCATTGAAGGTGGTTTGAGAAAGTGTTTCCCAGGCAGGCAAAGTGTTTTATAATGTGCATTAGCAATGGAGTCGCGAGACCCCCAATGGATCAGTCTGTTTGCACATGAATTGAAAGGGAACATTTGCCAAAATCATTAAAACTGTGGCGATAGAACATAATGTAATTGTAATGTTCGAATTCAGATTTTGTTCAAACAATGCCTTTTGTTTTCTTACAGCACCCTGGTGGATCCGAGATATTATTGGAGCATGCAGGTGAGTTGTATTTTGTTTATAACGTTTTTTTAAAGTTTAATATTGATTTGTTTCCCCAGATTATTTCTGTTGTTATCAATAATTATCATTAGTTGTTGTTGCATTCTCCTACCTATTATCCCGAGGTCAAATGATGGCTTGTCCAGTAGTTTGCTAACTACCATAACACAAGTACTTCCTGGCGGGAGTGCATTTGGCCGAAAACACCAGTTTTGAAAAGGGCAAGATGTATCGGCCAAATTGTACAACTAGGCCAAACACACATACTGACTCCACCGTAACTTCATACTTTCCAATATTCCGAGGCACAGCCACAGAGCAATTTTTGCTACGACGACAGGCCATGTACAGCTGCCAAGTTCAAGTTCAAAACACAGTGTGTACAAAATCAGGGGGAACCATTGACGTGTACAGCATTAAACAAGTAATTACAAAAACAAATTATTTTTGTAATGAAACAGGACATGACTCCACCCGGGCGTTCCAAGGGAAAGGTCACTCCGAAGAAGCCCACAAGTTGCTGGAGAAATACTGCATTGGCCAGCTCGTCTCGGTATGTTTTAGTTTTGTTTTTTATTTCTTCCTTTACTTCCTACATAAATGTACATATTGTGCAGTTATATTTACTAAGTAGAGCTTTGCATTTGCAAATAATTTCGTATTTGATTATTCTAACTTAGACTACAGGGCGAGTAAAAAAAAAGCGGAACCCAAACCCCCACAAATATATTTCATATTTAAAAAAAATATGTAGCATCAACATTAATAATGACTGGAAAGCCAATTTCATACTTTTAGATGAAAAAAATACTGCAATTGCTCGATCCATTCAAAGTATATCACCATTTACACAATGTAAACGCAATGACCCTAAAACCTCTTTCATCCAAAAATGCGATTTTAAGAATCGTCGTCACAATTGTCTTCAAACAACACCAGCGATAAAACCCCAGTTTAAAAGTTAATGATATTGAATCAAGTCCTTTTGAAGGTCCGTCTGCTTTAAAAAAGTTGATTTTATAAATCATACTGTATTGTTTATTTTATAAAGCATCTTGTTTGCCTAACCAGGGTTGTTAATAAAGATATTGTGTACTACAGTTGTTGACAGTTGTTGAAACAAGTATTCTGTGTCATTTTCTTTGTTGTTCCAAAAAGTCAGAACACACAATAAATTGCTTTTTTTGGACGAAACAGATTTCAGGGTCATTGCGTTTAAATGGTGATATTCTTTGAACGTATTGAGCAATTCCAGTAATTTTTTTCATTTAGAAGTAGAAAACGGCTTTCCAGTCATTACAATTGTTGGTGCTACAATTTTTTTTAAATATGAAATATATATTTTTGGGGGTTTGGGCTCCGATTTTTTCGCTTCACCCTGAAGAAGAAATATTCGGTTTTCGAAATACAGTGATCAAGTTCACCAGAGTGCTTGGTTGGTTTTGGGCACTACAGTGAGTAAAGGGTGAATGTATTTAAAGATGATGCAATGTGGCTTCAAACTTTACATCAATACGTGTTCTTTGTATTTATGTTGATTTCTTGCAGAGTGAGCGAATCTATTGAAGGGGTTGCCAAAGCGCCCTCTATTCAGGGATGTCTTAGACTGACAGGCAGGAATTATTCACGTGTGCAATCATGAAAAGACACCAAGGATTCAATAACCTCAGTAAAGTTATAATTACTAGCATTTTTGTATCAGGGTAATAGCTTTTGACAAATAATGTATTTTGTAAAGTTGATATTGTTTAAATTTGGTCGCTGGTTATTCCCTAGCATTCATAAATACCTAAGACAGTTTACGCATTCCTATTGGTCGAGAGCCCGTCACGGATGATAAAGACATGGCTAGCTGGTCTTAAACACTTTTCCAGTGTCACATAAAATGTGGACTCCTAAAAATCCAGTGCCTCTTATCGTTTCATTGGTTGAACGTTCACAATCCTCACGTAGGCATGCGCAACACTACCAGGGAGTCAGAATTTTATAGTTCTAAATTCAAAACCCAACGCGCCAGGTGCGTTCTGCGCGACATCGCGCAGAACATGATACGCGCGCGTCAATCTCCATAAAAGGGTTGTTTACATCTTACTCGCCAGCTGAACACTCTATTATTTTGCAAGAGGTATGTTTCAACAAAATCGGGATGTTTTGAACGAATTATATGATGTTTTTTTTACCGAAAAGGTATTTATGAATGGGAATAAATATATGCTCCGTCGGTATTTATCACTCTGTTTAAGACCACTTAGCAACTGGCGAGGGTAATTATCAGCACCCAGACTCTAAGTGGTCTTAAACAGAGTGATAAAAACCTCCGGAGCATATATTTATTCCCTTATTCAAAGAGTAACTTAACAATTTTTTCTGTACTGTTAAAAGGGCATTGTGTAAAAAACAAATGAAATTGAAGTGAACCGAATGTTTTTACATAGAATTCATGGTAAACTATACCAGGATAAGTTTTGGAATACAATATAGATTGCTTGCACAGTTGCGTCGTATTTCAAACTTATTTCGAGCAACTAGCGCGTGTTTTGATTATTTTCAACACTGTGCAATGCGTGCTTGATTGCGTAAAATACGCAGTTGCAGTTCTCCTGCAGAGATGGCCGTCTTTGAGAGAGACCTATTGTCTGGCAGCCAATAATTCAAATTTTGTGAAGACAAAATTCAACAACTAAACGTCGGTGGATTTTTTTCATTTCATGTCTCATTCCAAAGTGAACAACTTTTATATTGCTGGGAAAATAGCAAATGACAAAACAAATCATTTCTTGATGTGTAACTCAAAAACAGCACTGGAAATCATCTTTGAATACCTCAAAAATTGCTGCCTAATGCGAAGAGTTTACATTTAATTGATGGATTTGTTGAAACTGCATTCAAATTATTTTGTTAGAAAATTTAAAGCATCACCATTACAAAAACAATTAGCTTGAGGCTGCAATTATGAGACATGTAGGCCACACATAAATGGTAGTTTCCTGTTCTCTTTGGGATATCATCTGTGTTAATATTTTTAAAACACTTTTTAAAAAGCATCTTGCACAATTCACACCTAAGTGTATATTTTTGGTGTGTAAGTTTTCAGCTTTGTAAATATCGGTGAACAGAAGTGTGTATTTTTGTATTTTTTCAACTAGTATTCTTTAAAGGGTTCTGAAACCGGATTAAACCTCACGGTAAATAATTTACTTGAAATAAGTATTGGTACAAAATGTAATGGAAATTGTAAAGGTTATTTATGTGTACATGTTAACAGATTTTAAAAATGTTTATATAGATCTGCAAGTTCAGTGACAGTTGTCAGCCTTTTAGATGAAAACAAATGTCAGAAAGACGGGCCCTTGAAAAAGCAAACATCAAAGAAAGTATAAAAAAAAATTGGGAAGAATGTTGGTTTTCTCAAACTTGTTTATAAGCTTTGCGTTCAGTAAACATTTTCTTAAATTTGGTAGAGCTGCCCCCTTGTGTATATTTTCAGATCTGATATCACTGTCATCATTTTTGCACTGAAGAGTTTGGGTTTGTTTGTTTGCACGTTTTATTAACAATTTGATAACATTTGGAAGTACTGTTCTCTAGAAATGTCATGTTTTTTTTTAATACAGGGCGACATAAAAATATCAACTTTTTGCATCGAGCATATGTTAATGGAAAGGGCTCATTTAGAAACATATTTGAATTATAAAATGTCAAATTATAAAATGTCAAATTATAAAATGTCAAAAAAAATACAACATACTTTGACATTCTAGACGTGAATTTGCTGAATGTCAACTTTGCAGATTTCAATAAAAATTGAAAAATGAAATTTGGTTCGATCCCCCCCCCCCCCAACAGCTGGGTGGGATACAGATTCTATTCCACTGAATCCAACAATATAAATCACCTCCGTTTTTTTGTTTGTTCTCTGTTTAAATTGTCGACATGCAACAGAAACAGCCTGTTACTAAATCTTGTGTGGGTTACTTTGAGAATTGTATAAGTTTATAGATATTCATTGTTTGACATTAGCAGTGGTGAAGTCGGGTACATTCCCATGAGTATGAGCTTGTGTATCAGTTCAAGTACTTTGCAACGAGAGTGAGGCAGATTTTTCCATGAGTGCATGTATGCGTGCATTTCCATGAGTACGAGTACAAGTGTTGTGCAAACCAGACCCAAAAGTGACCCAGGATGGGTCGGGAAAATAGGTTAAGGGGTCATTTAAGTTGGACAAATTTATGCACAACTCTGTGGAATGTCGCCCCAAGTTACCATTTTCCATAATTATTATTTATGTATGCATTATATTCATTGCAGGGTAGAGATTCTTTGTGATAACAATGTGCAAAATGTTTGAAGTGCAAATAATATAAAGTTTCCTTTTCTTCGTAACACGCAGAGTGAGTGATTGGTTTTGTTTAACATAGAGTGCACATCAGAGTTGCATCTGACTCGCAGGAGTGTTGTGTACGGTCGAACTATCTGCATTTATTTAAAAGGATTTCACATCAAGAACGCATTTTGTGCCCAAATGCATTTACCACAAGATGATACTGGAAAATTTGTTAAAAAAGTAGAATTTAAATACAAATGTGACGTACGTCAAAATCAGGCACTTTTGGACAAGAAGTCAATTTTGAGTTATTGCAATATCAGTAAAATATTGGAATAATCCGCAGACACCACCCCCATATGAACAGAGATGGAGGGTACGAGCTGGCCCACGTCGTATACGACCACCTCCTGTCGCGCGACCAAGCTTGGTCACGTGACAGGTCACGTGATGGCCTTAACAACACCAGTTGACAAAGACACCGTGATGGTGTCGCAAGCTCCTGATATGAGTTCTTGTGATCAAAGTCCCAAAAAGGTATCTTTTATTTAATTGATATAATAATGGGACAGGAAACGAACTTCCATCCTCGATTAATTTTGAGTCATTTCAGAGCAAAATCTTGAACAGTGTCATTTTGTGAAATGACACACCTCTCTCAAATGGCCAGATATTGATTCCCTTTTTAAAAGCTATTTTCCAGCAATACACAATTTATTCACTATTGAATGAGGCATTGACCAAAAACAACCCATCCACGCTGATTTAAGGAATAATTACCTGACAAATTACTTGTGCTTGCGGTCTGACAATATTTCAGTTCTTGCAGGGTAGGCGGGTCCCTGCCTCCCCATCAGAATCGATAGTATAGGGATAAGGGACCAGCCTACTCTAAGTTTTTCAAGGATAAGGTTTGCAGGATGCATCTCGTCTAACAATTTCTTGTGTATTGCAAATCAAATATAGTAAACATTAGAAAGAATAACACATTTTTGTGTGAATTTGTCTGGCCTGATGTCTTTATTGCTTAGTTTTTTTTAAGTAAAAAAGGGTTATTTGCATCAGATTTATAGTGTACATGTATTTACATCTTAACGAAGGTCGTGTTCCAATTACATGGCTACGGCTTAAAATTATACACAGGGCTATGGGAAGTTGCTGCAGCCGCTACCATAGACACGTGTGTAATTTGAAGGCGTAGCCAAGTAATTCGGACACGGCTTAACTATAGAAAGCCTCCTTTTATCACAAATCTACTTCATGATTATTTTGCAGTATCTTTAAATGTTACCTACGAAAAAATCATTCACAACGTCGAGTTGAAAGTACTGTCAAGTACTGTCATAATAACTCTCACTCTTGAAAAAAATTACGGTGCTGTAGCGATGCCATTGGGGTATAAGCAAAGCGAAGTCTGTCACAAACCAATATGGCTCATAAGGCTGGCGCTTATCTCCCATTTCAGCGGCACGAAACAACTGAGAATAATGTCTATTCCTCCCTGGATGGGATGCCAGTCCATCGCAAGTTACTCCCCAGCTAATGCCGGTACCCATTTATACTTCTGGGTGGAGAGAGGCAAGTGGGGGTGACGATGATTACCCAAGGATACAACCTACGGCCAGCAGCTGGATTCAAACCCCTGACCCTCTGATCATGAGTCACGAACCCTAACCACCAGGCCACACTCCCCCTAATGGATGCGTATTTATAAGGTTACTGACATAAGTTCACATTTTGCTACAAGTCAAACATTTCACATTTACATTTTTTTAAAAATTTTACTAAAAGTACGAAACTGCTTTATTTGAAGTATCTCTGGTGGTTGTTTCCAGAAAATTGCATCGTTACTGGGCCCTTATTTGCTCAAAAACATAGCCTACTATAACTCTTAAAAACAGTTTCTTTGTCCTGGTCTTTGCTTAAAAAAAACCCTCCGAAATGCAAAATGTCTTGATGATTTTACAACGTGAAAGTGAAGAACGAGACATGTACATAGTTCAGCATCTTGTAACAAGTATCTTGAAACGTGCTTTAAAGGCACGCAGAAAGTGTAAATGTTATTTTCTATCTAGATAATCCAAAATAACTCTGTTGGGGAAGCAGAGATGTAATCACTACATGTGTGCTGATCACCCTGTCCTTGACCACGCGTTTCATCATTGAAACTGTCGGGAGTCCATTGTGGACGCCTTCAGATTAGGTCATGTTTGGCACAGCCCCCTACCGCACCGCTCTGCTTTTGGGGTACAGAGTCCAGGGACCCTTGCTCCCGACCCTTGTTTCTCGTTTTTGTAGCCCTTTACTTTAAGTGGTTTTCAGCCTTGTAGTGGGGCTCTCTCAAACACACCCAGTAGGTAGTAGGCAAGCCTTCAAAGCTGTGATAGATGGCAAAAACAGAGAAAAACGCGGAGCCAACATCCAGTACTGGGTCCATCCAAGGCACAGGTATTGACCACTGTGCCATTTGATAAAGAATTTGTGGTTATTTTACGTGAAAATAAGCCCTGCTGTCTAGTTTACAACGCACGTGGTTGTTTATCAAACACAAACACTTGCCTACTGCAATGGTGGCAGATCGAGGGAGACCGGATGGTCACGTGGTTCGTTGATGTCATGCGATCGGACCCATACATCCTTACATATCCCACAATTCCCTGCTCCTACCGATACTTCTTGAAATTCCGGCCCCAGTTCCGCACAATGGACAAGACAAACCAGACCACGATGAGACTGATGAAGAACACGTAGATGGTGATGACGGATGTCTCCTGTGGTATGAAGCACTTGCTGTACTCAAAGTGCTCCTTTGAAATGGTGGCCTGTCCAGAAATGAAAGAACAAAAAAATGCATGATATTGCTGTTTGTTTGTCCGACTCCTCGTAAATTCCATTTAAAGGCACATTGGATCATTTGCATTTATCCCACAACGAGACCTACCGAATTATTATCAAAATGCTTACTTAGATTAGATGGTACTGGTACTTAAAGCTATAGTCCATCATTTGCAGCCATCCGAAAAGTAACTGGCGTAATTATTGTTGAAAAACATACTTGGTTGAAAGATAGTAAGGGAACTAAACTCCCTGTGAAATAATTGTTTCTGGCAAGCTGTCATTTTGAAGTAATCAACGAAAGAAGGCCTTTCCAACGGTGCGTCTTAAAGACGCACCGTAGGAAAATTTAAATTAGTAGTTCGTTTTGTTATTCGGCATTGGCACGACGCACACGGGCGTGCAGTTGCTATAATTCGTCAGATCAGTGTGCGACATAGCGTATAGCTGCAATCGGCTCAGTGAGAACGTGTCTCGGACGCTGAATTCAGTCCCAATTCAAAACATGATTCAGCAACTTTTGATTTGAAATTGAGATCCTAGAATGCTGTTTTTCTCTGAATATACAGCTGAAGCTGAGCTGAAACTTCATCAGGTTAGTTGTTCAGTATCCTTAATTAGATTTCGAACACTTTTGTTGCTTTAAACGAACAAAATGCACAAATTACAAATGATGGACTATATCTTTAACCACTTTGCGCCAGGATTATTTTTGCTGAAAATTTCAATTTTTGAGAAAGGCAAAATTTGCCAGCCAACTTCTGATATAGCCAAATGCCACAAATACTGATTCCCAAGAGTAATTTGAACAGTATTTGTACGATAATTCTTGCTGAAACCCCATATGTTTCTGAGGTGTGCAATGGAGCGTAAATTGTTTAATAGGCCGTGCACGACGGCCAATTCAAGATCAACACATGGTCCGCCTCCACAGACTTTGTGTGTGTGTACAAAAGGCATGAGGGATTAGCGTGTTTAGACGAGTCGGCGAGTCGAGGCAATCTTGATGTACTTATTACCCGTCAGCTGTGCCTGTGTATAAAAACAGCCAGTGTGTGTTATCACATCCTCAGATGCCAACTGGTTACATAACTGGGCATTTGCAGTGCAAAGTAACTGCCCCATTAATTAATACCTGGCACAATGGTTTCTATGTGATTTTCCAAAATTGGTTTGATTCCAAGCTCTGCGAAAACTGTTTTGGGAGCCCCTATAATGTGGAAAGTTTTTTTCACTATGTCTCCTTGAAAGGATAAAAAAAAACCCACTTTCTAACACTGTAAAATCAATCATTCAATTTAGAAAATTTATAATTTTACACTCTAGTTTGCAACTGATCTTTTTAACGGTCAAGTTTAGGAGACCTACCAGGATCAGGCTTGGGTTGTTGCGATTGCGCCAACTGAACGAAGGGACGGAGAGTTCGGGGACTCCGCCCGGGTGCACCACGTAGCAGCCGTGATGGGCGTGGCCGCTCAGAATCATACGCGGCTGGATCCACGATAGCAGCTGGAGTAAAAACGCAATATATATGAATGATAGGGTCTTGTCAGTATGGACAAGTACCCCCTCAACGGTTAGAAAGGGAGAGTTGGGGAAGACCACTGGAAGGGACATTCAAACGCATTGCTGACAGCACCTGGGCCCAATTTCATAGCACTGCTTAACAGTAAGCAGAAAAGTTGTGCTTACTATAGCAGAAAATCATGCTGCTGCTTAAGCACTATTTCATGCTAACGGTTGCGTGCGCGTGGGCATTTCTATTGTAACGTCACTGATTTAAGCAACGTTTTCTTCTGGGTTAAGCGTGCTTTTGCTGCGCTTACTGCTAAACAGTCCCTATGAAATAGATGGAGGCTCGGTAAGCACAAAGTCGGCTGTTAAGCAGCGCTATGAAATTGGGCCTAGATGCTCACGCGAAGATGCCATTAGTTTGTGCACATTCAGAAGGGAGCCCATACGAAGTTAGTGGGGATAACTTTATACAGATGTTCTGGGTTCTGCTTTCAATGCTTAATCCTAAGCCCCTGGGGCATCTTGGCTAGAAACTCTGCAAAACGCAGCAACATGCAACACTTTTCAAAATGACAGGCCTGCAAGGTGTAGCAAGATCCATCCGGTCAAAAGTCTCCAGGCCCAAACTGCCTCAGAGTCCGTGGTCACCAACTGCAGCAAGATCAACTGTGGCATTGTTCAATGGGACTGGCTCTCATTTTTCCCAAAATGGCCGTTTATGCACAGGTGTTGATGGCTCAATGCAGCGAGGTCCCACAGACTTTAACACACAATGCACCGTGTTACATCTGGCAGGGCAAGGGTCAATTGGGCTGAATACGAGTTAATCCTGACCCTCCTTACTCCTCCAGGCGGTTTTGAAAGAATTTGGAGGATTGAGGCTGAATGGCAAATAAGTGTTGGTTGATTTTGGAGGGTGCAATTGTTCGTAGGCTGTACCCAGCATTCAATCATACAGAATTGAGCCCTGCATTATGCTAGATATCATCCGCACTGCTCCTGAATGTCATCGGCACTGCCTCAACACATTACAGTGATTGTCGGAGGATTTTAAAGGCTATTTAGGCAATGGTCACTCCTCCACTGAACAAATTAAAGAAACAACAGAGGATTTTGGAGGATTGAGGCTGAATCCAATTTTTACATGATAGCAATTGGAGGATTTTGCAGGACTAAGGATGGTTCCTAGCCAAAAGGGCCTACAGGGTTAGGTTTAATGAACGCAATGACTGGTAATCTATTGCAATTGTCTAAGTAGCACTCACTTGCTGTGAAGCCTTTTTGGATATAACATCAAATCTTTCTGTATTTTTCTTCCTTTGTTGGTTGAGTGTTGGAGCATCAGGGCCTGTGCATGGTGTCTCGTCAGGCCTGTACAAGGGGAAATGCTGTAGTAGAAAAAACAAATCATGCAAGTATTAACTTTGTATACAAGAAAACAGAAGACACTGTGTATAGTTTTTGTAACTCCTGTTGAAAATTCATCATAATATTTGCAGTAATTCCACATTCGTTTGTTTTTCTGAAGTGAAAAGGATTTTTTTTTTTTTAAATGTGTTTTTATGTTTATTTTCTTTATCCTATTGTTAAATGGAAAGGGTCAATAATGAAGGGATAATGAGATACGATGGCTTTGAATGACCTATTCAACAAGCCCTTGGCATACTGGAAATGAATGGATACATCAATAAATACACAAACTATAGTGGAGGGACTGGGAGCGAGTCTTTTTGAGTTTTGAGCAAAACCTTTTCTTCTGGTTTCTACCCTGACCCATTTACTCCTTGGTGGAGAGGGGCAATTGTCGGTGTTGTAGTACTCGTACTCGGTTTTCAAACTTGAGTATTACTCGAGTACCTTTGTTAAAGTACTTGTACCCATACTCGAAATGACGGTACTGGTAATCAGGCAGCAAAGTACTGGTCTCGACAGGTCGAAATTGTACTCAATCATCAAAGTACTCGTTCTCGATAACAGTACTTGGAAAAAAATGGTATAGCTTGACTTACCACGGCCTTATTTATCAATATTTTCAGTTGAAAATGGTTGATTGGCTTGGAGAGAAATCAAAGTTTCCTGATTTTCCTCTGTGCACTTCCGGACAAACACATTTAACAGCTAGCCATGAGTGGGTTTATATATCGGTCTCACTGGGCATAGGCCCATTACATAAAATGAACCATTTTCATATGGTCGTACTTGGATATAGAAGTACTCGTACTCTGAATACAGGTACTCGGAGTACAAGTACGCGGAATACAAGTACTCATAATCATACTCGGAAGTAAAAGTACTCATACTCGGAGACCTTTATTGTACTCGGAAGTACATGTGCTCGTACTCGTACTCAGTAACCTAAGTATTCGGCAGTACTCGCTACTTGGAAAAAAAGGACTTGACTACCACACTGGCAATTGTAGTAAATGGTCTTGCCCCAGAACAGAAGCTCATGTTTTCTGTCAGGGTTCAAACCCATGCACCGTCATCAACGAACCACGTGACCATCCACGTCAAACTCCGCACCACAGGGCTTCACAAGCTACAATCCTGGCCAAATCTCGCTGGGCCTCCAACCCCCCGGTCCCCGTTGTCTCTCATTGGGCGGTGTGTGCTCCATCAGCTGGAGAGAACAACATTGACGGGGGGAGCGGGGAGTGGGTGACCGTGGCAGGCTCAGGAAGTGTCCCAACCATTTTGGCCGGGATTGTAGTATCCGCTTACCTGAAGTAGAATCGGTCTAACGTTTGGCAACGTCTTATATTTCTGGCATCTTGCCTTCACTGTTTCCTTCTCGTTTGCTCTGCCGGACGGCGATCCGTACCGTGTGCAGTTGAGTCTCTCGGACGCCCAGCGCAGTTTGTCCATGGCTGGGCTGCACATGAAGCAGCCATCGCCGTGCATGGCCATGCTGTTGACTAGAACAAAGCTGTGAATAAAAAAAGCCCAAATTCAAACCAAGAGAAGGCCATGTCCCAGCTGACATGGCTCAGGCCAGCAGGAACACACATGTCTGCCAATTTCCATACAAGGAAATTCTTAGTTCCACGCGTGTGAGGTACATAAGGCCGAATAAAAAAAACAACATGTTTCTCGTCCGGGTTTTCGAAAAAAAGGAGGAAGCGGGGCTTTTTATTTTTTATTTTTAATTTGTTTCAAGATGGCCGCCATTTAAAAATTTCCAGCAAATGTTGGCGTTTCCACTGTTCAAAGACACTTTTAAAATGAAAGATAAGTTGGACAAGAGAACTGAACATATTTACAGTGTCATTTAGACTTGTATTGGTCTACAATTTATTTTCCGATGAATTTGTGGACTTTTTCGGTGTTTTTTAATGCATTTTTCAAAAATAAAAAATAATAAAAACATCCAGGCGGCCTCAGAAAAGGAAGTGGGCGGGGACGAGAAACATGTTTTTGTTTTTTTACTTCGCCTAACATAGATATTGCAAGATGGGTGTTTCACAAAACTGATGTAAAATTGTTACACAAAATCGGTGTAAATTTGTTAAAAGTATTGATTTGTTTTGACCGAATAAACAATAAACATGTGATTGGCCGGCACATATTTGTTCCCTTAACCAATTGTGTTTGGATGCTTACAAATGAGGAAGGCATTATGCACAGCGCCTTGTACTTACACGTTGTCTTTAATTGTCAGGATTTTGACCGGAGGAATGTCGAACATCTCCTGAAAGCGTTCCAACTTGATCTTGGTGACCCTGACATAATATTAAAAAAAACAGACGTGAACAATTCCAGCATTATGTAATGTCCGTGACAGAGATTTTAGAATTCAGTGAATAAACCTGAAAATATATTTTTTTCAAATCTTTTACATCTATCATCCAGTAATGGTCAAGGAGATTACAGACTAGGCAAAAAAAAAAAATGCTTCTGCTTCCGATTACATGCCTTTCACAAATAGGGTTCGGAACAAATAGGTCAGAACTTTTTTTCGGGGGCCAATTTTTTTTGTGCTGATTGAATGGGGTATTCAATTGTAACTAACCGAATGCAAGCTGCGAATTCATTTGTTTACTTACACAAGTTTAAATGGTTTAAAGTAAATTGTAAAGTCCTCTTAGAAATGTTTAAATGCCTACCACCCACCCAGGAGCTCTCCTTATTTGGGAATAGGAATTGTTGTTGGCATTTTTAAGGCCAACAAGTGAAATACCTGTGCTTAGTTCCCTGTTGATTGGTACAGAAATCCATTTTGTTTGGACATAATATTGTTGCTGTGCTAATTTGAATATTTCAAATGCCTTGCATGAACATGTACTCTTGTCAAATTGAAATAATGCAATTTTACAAATTAATCCACATGACCGCTTTGATTACATTTTGTAATTGTTATATTGTACATAGTGCTGGCTAGCTTTCACACTCAAACTAAGAGATTTCAATGTTTTCTTATCTGTACAGACTCCCTCATCATCTGGTAGCCTTGTTGCTATTCCCCTAGTAAATTTCCTTGTTTTACCCAGACTAATTTTGTACATTATCCTCACATTTTTCAATTGTAAATAAGACACCCGCATGAAATCATTTTTGTTAAGTTCCCAATTGAATAAACCATCTTGTGAGCGACCTGAAATTAAGTTTCCAACTGCCCTTGAATTTTTTTTTACCACCTTCTCTCGTCTGCTTGGTTACACAATTATATATGCGAAGTTTCAGCTTGAACTATTTCCATTGCACTACGAAAACTATACAAAAAATGGCCACAAAAAGTGATTAAAACTAACCGTTATTATTTAAAATATATATTTACGTTCAAAAATTCTTAAAAATAATGGAAATTTCAGGTCATGAGCACCATATGCACAACGCTAGTCAAGACGCGAAACTGGCCTACTGTCCGTGATTGCGCAGTATATAGCGAGCATAATGCACTGTGTATGGCGGGCACAAAACCTTGTTATACGGTAGGAGGAAATAAGTTGCATCGTATCACTCCAAATACGAGTAGTATGACCTCGAAATGAATTCATGAACACGGAAAATACATACACAGACAAGAGAGATCAAGTTCTGTGATTTAATTTGCAAAAATGTTCTTTCTCCATCGGTGTCTTCTTGGCATTTTTACCATGTTGAATCCGACCAGCTGCAGTGCACCATGTACGTGGCCTGCCATGCCATGCATGCATACTGTACTAGAGGCATGCACAGACTGGTTACCGCATTTTTATCATGCCTTCTACATTGGTCGTTGCGCGGCGCCGCGGGAACCACTCATTGCTGCACTGAGCTAGTATTACCCACATTTTTCGTCACCGCGACATCAAATTACGAACCAGTTTAGTAGTAATCGCGAAGCGAACTTGTAAAAACAAAGGTTTCTTTTTTTAAAAATAGCGAATGTACGTAGGAAAACAACTAAATACAAGCATTTTTGACGCAAAAGGGTTTTTGAGAGGTGTTTTGTGAAGACAGAAAAGACAACAGGATTTTTTTAAAATATATTTTATATTAATTTTTTTTTTTTGTGTGTGACTTGCTGATAATATTTTTAGGGTCGCGGCCTAAAAATAGGGTCGGTCGGGTAACCGGAAGCAGAAGTAGTTTTTTTTTGCCTTTTTTGGCAGTTTTGTATAAATGGTCTGAATCATTAATCAGATATCTGTGAGGGATCTCCTGTGAGAAGAATCCACCCTAAATGCTTGGACTTATAAAATAACAGCACACAGTTGACAGCAGACCCCCTCCCAATGTAACCTGAGTTACCATGGAATTGCCCATATGATTCTTATCGCATTCAGGTCGAATTTAACTTGTACCCCCTGTCACCTGTGACGTCATGCCAACAGGCAACAGATAGGCAACCCAAACATTTTTTGCATGTTATATTGCCCATATCGAACAGTTAATATCAACACTTTAAAAATCACTCAAGAGCAGAGATGCCGCAGGGTCTGCTTGAAAAAACTGGAACTGGGTCTGCTTGAAAAAAACAGAACGGCTGCTTGAAAAAAAAAAAAAGGAACTTTTTTGTGTGAGAAAAAGCCATTCCGAGTCCGACACAAAGTCCCCATTGTCATCTTTATCTTACCACTTTGACTTTTTCCATATTCCTAATATTTATTCTGCCTACCCGAATTTCCAATGTAATATTCAACACGAAACGTGCACGATTCCAGAACACTGCACTGCTGTCGATGTACATGACCTTAGCACTACGCGATGCGCTTGACGAAAACATGGTTGGTGCCCGGTGTTTTTTGTATTCACATAACGTATATCACTGCCATCGGAAACCACAGATAACTGAAATGACAGACTTGATTTCCAGGCTGAATGCTACGTGTGCTTAGCACACAACATGCCCGCACGCAGTGAAGCACACGCGAGGCGCCGTTGTATACGGCGTGCAAGTACGTTGACCCCCTGTATTGCATGCAGGCTCGGAACAACAAAGACTGTTTTTAAGACTACTTCAACGAACAACGCTGTGCCATGCATGCGCCTAAATGTACGAGGTAAAACTCAACGCATTTCCACAGTTTTTCTTCTCTTTTTTTCCGGTTTATTTTGACGGCCGGAAAAACCAGAATTTTGTGAGATTTTTTTAAAAACCGGAATTCCGGTTAAAACCGGAAAAGTGGCATCTCTGCAAAAAAATATTTACAACTTACGACTCATGGAATCCAATGTCGTGATTGCCGACGACAACATGGAACTCAATATTTTCGCCCACTTTGAACATGTTATTGAAGCGTTCCACTGTCTCGCCAAATTCCTGTCGGGTGGGAAACAAAAATCAGACTAAAACTTTCTTAAGCATGTTCAGCTCAAACAGTTTTTGCACCTCCTTTAACCGTAACTCCCTAGCATGATTTACTAGGAACCATACCCATCCTGGCTAATTCCAACACCATATGGGAAACTGCACACACAAATTTCTGACTTTGATTCTGGAGGTGTGCAAACCCAATGTAAACAATTATCAGTTTCGGGGTACTGTACCCATCCTGACAGATTCCAACAAAACATGCCGTTGAGGTTTGATGGGTTGAGTTCTGTTAGGGTTAAAGGGAATATACAACATTTGCTTTTGCTGTAAGTTTCAGAAAAGGATGAAATGGATGTCCACCAAATTTAGGGTGGGGCAGTACCATTATTTTCCCCCCCCATTATTTATCATTCAATTTAAGTTCTGTACGATACTCCATGTTGGGCGAGGTAACCGCGAACAAACTTTTGTTTCTTTTTTTGCAGTATGAAAAAAGAGGAGCCAAATACGAAATTTGTGATATTATTTTTTTTTCACCTGATCACTGGCCCATTTTCCTTCGTCAGTCAGATCGCCAAGAATAAAGACCACATCCGGATTGGCTAAGGTCATCGCTGTCTGAAACGCTCTCTGCATCTGCCATTCCCTACAGTCAAAAGAGTATGAAAGGGCACTCTCTATCAGCGTGACCACTCATCAAATTTGAAAATCCCAAGATGACGGCAGAAAAATTCCCAAGATTTTCAAAGCTATCAGCATCATGTATCAAAAATATGAATGGGGCTCACAAAGTGTTTCAATTAACATTTTGCACATTGCGTAATCCATACTTTCGTGTGTTCTCAATACGCAAAAAGTCCCAAGGCTCAGCAAAACGACTTAACTCCCAAGATCTTGGGACAATTCCAAGGAGTGGCCACGCTGGTCTCCGTCAATCATTGATTGCAGAAACAAAAATGTTAAAGTTAGGTTTAGTTTGACTGATCTGTGTCAAACTATTGACTTCATCTATTTTGGGCTTTCTGCTGTGTTCTGTAGTAATGCCGAATAAAGCGACCATTTTGTCAAAGACTCTACCTTTACGGAAAAAAAGAAAGGCGCTGCCCGTCATTCATTAACTGCCAAGGCTAATGTGTAAGGTATGTTTAATTGGACTTGATTTGATATCAATCAAGGCGGCTTTGCATCCTCGCCAGCTTTGTGGGGGAGGTAGCTTTTTTGCCTCACCCATTTCTGTGGGGAGGTGGCTTCACCACCACACCCACTTGGCATATTAGAGGCATTTCATGGCTCACCAATAGGGAAATCGGTGGGGAAAGAGTTGCGTCAAACTGGTACATATTAAGGGATAAACATGCCTAAAGTGTAATTAAATTGTCGAGGGAAAAAGCTATACAAGAATGACCAGCATACCTGCGTAGCTTGTCAAACCAGTGACCAAGTCTGTTCCCAAGTAGGTGGGTGTCGGACAGGAACATGGCACGCAGGGGAGCCGATTCCCCACCCCCTGGGGCATCCCTACCCCAGTCACCTCGGGGCAGCTGTGGCCATGAGCACGGGAGGGCGATGAAGTAGTAGATCAGGAACTCGCAGAAGATGAGGAGGGAGAATGCGGCGAGGATGAGGCGGAGAAGATGACGCCAGAGGAGGATCATGAAGAGAAAACTGTTGGGGGCAAAAGAAGTCAAGTTAGGATTGTTGGCCATTGGTGTGATCTGTTATAGCCTACAACAAAACCATATCAAAATCAAATGTAGAAGTTTTATTCTAAAAATTTACGACCCTCTCTACTCCCATAAAGGTATCTACAATACTCTCAAATCAAGACTTCTTTTTCACTTGATATTTGCTAAGGGCATGACCCATGATCTTTAGAAAAATTCTGCAGCCATTTTCTGATAGGCAGTGGATATTTGACTGTGAACTAATCTCCAAATTTTGTAAGGTCTTTAACCGGCACGGCATACTGAACATTCCACAGCGGCCCAGTCACAATTTTGTCAATCACTCCCAATGCTCTTAATCCAGTCTTATACTCTTTCACCTTCAAATCTTCATACACTGCACTCCTAAGTTGGTTCTCATCCTTTGTACACTCCAACAGATGAGGATGAAGGAAGTACACCCCTGCATTATTAGGCCAAATTAAAAAAAAGAACACGTTTAGCGTCCCCACCCGCTTCCTTTTTGGAGGCCGCCTCCTTTTTATTCCTTTTTTTTTAACACGAAAAAATGATAAATTTTAAACAGTGACATCCTTCTGTCCTCTTTGCCTGTTGCATCTATCCCATATAAAGCTGGTGCGTGTATGTCATTCCTGAGTCCAAGTGGCGGCCATTTCCAAAAAAAAAGCTGGAGGCCATCTTGAAAAATAGCCCGGTTGAGCAGCCATTTTGGAAGAAAAAAAATAAAAATAAAGGGCCGCCTCCTTTTTTTTCCAAAAAGCAGGACGCTAAACTTTTTTTTTTTTTACTTGGCCTTATGGAACAAAAAATTAAAGCGATTTCCCCGAAATGGTACAAGGGGTACTTCCTTCATGCCACATTCCCTTTTCAGGAACACATTGAAATACACCGGCATTCCAGACTCCTCACATGCTCTCGGCTGCACGCTCTTACAAACCGTTCTCACCACCCCTCTGTTCCACTGCATCCTGGTACATTCATACTCCCTACTTTCTTGTCACCCAATACATCCCAATACATTCTTTTCCAACACTTTCAGACAAGTACTCCCCTGCTCCGCTAATCCCACGATGGAGTGCATTCTAAAAAAAACACACCCATTTTCATTCGTTCTATACTCGTTCTCTGTTCAACACTCATGTCATTCCATTCATCCTTTACTATTGGCAACACATCTCTCCTATGGGATCCGTGCGCCATTGAAAGAGGGCGCCATTTTACCTAGCAACCACGTCCCATGGGCAGAACAGTTAGCTGGTTGACGCGCACCGTTCCTTGTGTGTGACGCACGTACACCAGGGGATTTTTACTATGTACACGCAGTGGTACGGCCGCGCGTTGCGCCAAAATTCCAGTCAGGCAAGATGGCGTTGGTCGGTCACCCCCAACTTTACTTTCTTTGCCGGTGAGGGGGTACTTGTGAACGGAGCGGATACTCCTTTAACATCTCATTGAACTTCTTCTCAACTGCATGCCTACATGTATCACTCATTGTATTTTTCACAGCAGTAACAATCTCATCCATCTTTTCTTTTTCACCACCACTTACTCCCACAACATCACTCACTATTTCCTTAAAGGAATAAACAACATTTGCAAACATCAAAAAAAAAAGAAAAAAAAAAGTACCAAAGTATTATAATAAAGTAATGACAGTCTTATAAACCATAATGGCACCTACATGTAGTGTGCTGTCATTTTCAAGAAAAGTAGTATTTTTGTAGCTGGAGTTACCTCAGCCCTATATTTTATCATTGGTTGATAACATATCCAGTTTGTTAGTAAAAATGTCATACACGTGCGCACCACTGATTACTCGCGCCCATTGGACAAACGCTCGAGGTGCGTTAACTTCCGGTTCCATTTGTGCTATGCTACACCGTGTGAAGTACATATGGGTGAATTGAGATGACGTCACACTAACCAACCGGATAGGGCTGAATGATAAAATATAGGGCTGAGGTAACTCCAACTAGTACCGTATTTTTTGACACCCCATTTCCCATGAGCCTAGAAAACTGGAAATTTAAAGAGGTTGTGGAATGCTCGAAGACATTTCCGTCATTTTTCGGGTATATGTAGCCTAAGGTGTGATGAAATAAAAACGACTATTGTTTCTGTCATAAAATGAGTACAAAAGGTACTTTTGAGAGCTGTTTTTCAAGTCCAGTCATGCCTGTTTCGACCCGAACGTGCAATTTGTGTAAAAGTCGTCGTTGCGGGCAGCAAACAAAACACAGTAAATCGTGACGTAATAAACAGGACTCCCGATGCAGGGTAGCATAAACGAGTCCTGTTTATCACGTTACGATTAAGTGTGTTTTGTTTGCTGCCCGCAACGACGACTTTTACACAAATTGCACGTTCGGGTCGAAACAGGACCTGAAAAATAGCTCTCAAAAGTAACCTTTGTACTCATTTCATGACAGAAACAATAGTCGTTTTTATTTCATCACACCTTAGGCTACATATACCCAAAAAATGACGGAAATGTCTTCAAGCATTCCACAACCTCTTTAAGCTAGTTCATACAATGTATATAAAAAAATTATCAATGGTACTAGCAGCCACGTGGTTGCAAAGGCCGATTTCTAAAATGCAACTGTTGGGGCTTGTTTCCCATAATGATGCAAGCATGCGCTAAAAATCATTTTGGTATGTTCAGTATTTGTCTTTGAATTTGGAAAAATAGTCTTTGGTGCGTCCATTTTTCAAAGCTGTAAGTGTAACACTGGTTTTTGCAATATTTTTCAATCTTTTCAAGCCTTCTACTTATTCTAGAAGTATTTAAGTTTTTATCCAAATAATTATGGTGTGCAGTCGAAATTTGTACTATCGCCTCCTTCACAAGTTATTACAGATAATGAATAAATATCACCCTTTCCCTCAGCTTCCATTGGTCGATACCTTCCGATTCTTGCTCTGTTTGTAGTGTCACTATGTAATCGTATTAATTGCTTACAATGCTGGATGCAAAGCCTTCGCAACCAGCTTTCATTCTATACAATTTGCTCTTTGGCACACCTTTCAAATACAAGTTTGTTTTACAACTCAATTCACTCGGGACACCACAAACAAATCCATTTTATAGTTCAGCAACACACAATCTCCCCTCCCCCCCCCCCCCAGCTGTTTTGGTGAGTCTTTTAACCTTATATAAATCATTACATGATTAGCTTGAGTAACTCCAACTGACATGCTCATATTCATTCACATGTAGCGTATGAATGAATAGTCCGAGTAACTTGGACCCAACTTATCGCCTTTTTAACAGTCGGACATGGTCTGGCGATATCGCCAGACCATGTCCGACTGTCATGACTGTTAAAAAGGCGATAAGTTGGGTCCAAGTTAGTCCCACTAACTGGGTCGCTAGAACTCTTTTTTTGACATTTGGGATGTTGGTCTGTCCATTCCTCCATGGTCTGTCGTACTAGTACGACACACCAACATCCCAAATGTCAAAAAAAGGAGTTCTAGTGACCCAGTTAGCAGGTTAGTAGGAAGTAGCCCCATAAATGTGGCCTATTTACTGGACTGCCTCCGTAAACATAGGCCACACATCCACATGTATATTTTTCGTGAAATTTCCAGATTCATTTTTACACGTTTGCATATCAAAATTTCAACATGAAATTTCACAAAAATTAGACATCTGAAAAGGGCAGCACTTTCTGATTAGCCTATAAAGAGGGTGAGTATGCTTCTAAAGCAAAAAAAATCCTACAAACTAAGCCTAAATGTGAAAATCAAAAGTGCGACACGTTTTTGTACATGTGGATGTGTGGCCTAGGCGCCTATGTTTACGGAGGCAGTCCAGTAAATAGGGGCTATATAAGTAGGAAGTTACTCGGACTACTGAATGAATATGAGCGAACATGTCAGCTGGAGTTACTTAAGCTAATAATACATGATATAGGAACGGGGTCCTGAAGGTAAGGATTACCATAATTTCAGATAAGTTTTGTCAACAGAATACAGGCCACGAAGAATCTGTAAATATTAGTTTTATATTAGTAACTTACTTGAGATATTTCCGATCGAGCAGAAGTCCCACACTCGTCGCACATGTCGTACGCTAGCTGGCGCGCCGGACCAAAAATATTAAATAGCTAGCTGGTGATCGATAGTGCGCCCTCTAACGGCACAACAATTATTAGACCGGCCTACTCGACTGGCCTGGGGATTTCCCTAGGGCCCAGAAAAAGTTGGCGTCTAGACGCTCTATGGCGCAACCGAAGGCAATTTCGACCACTTAAATCAATTTTTTGAGGAAAAGATCATCATTTAAACATAATTTTTGAGTTTGGAGTCATTGAATTGGCTATTCTGAGTATAGAATCAAACGTAGGCTGCAACTTTTATTCGGGGACGGAAAGAGTGGGGGGGGGGGGGGGGAACAAACAATAATATCCTCCACTTTAAAAAGCGGGGGTGGGGGAACCTCTCTTTTTGATTCTAACATCTTATAAAACCGAGACACATTTTGCTCTCACGCCAGTCAACAAAAGTTTGTAGTATTTGCCATCAAAAGTGGAAATGTGAGACGCGAGCATGCATGCACACTCCCATTCACAACTAACTTGTATTCTCCACAAAGACAGTAGGAAAACAAGCTTCAAACCATTTGGTGGTCAATGACAAACTTTATTCAGTGAAAACTCCGGTCTATTGAGGATTCCTTTCAGTTCAGTTTTCCAAAACGGAAAGAATTCCATACTGGGCCACCACTCAGACCTACTGCACGAAGTCTATGGGCCATGACCGAAAAAGTTGGAAGTATTATAAAAGAATTTGTGTACTCCTTAAATAGTGTTTCTTCATCAGATTTACAACTTTGGGTATTTTTCAGGTCATATTAAGGAATATGGGTGGTGGCCCAGTATGGAATTCTGTCCTGACAAAAACTATTCTTTACAACTTAATTATTAACAAACTTTAACGACCATCAACATCTGTGCATTGCTTTGCATACAATATTCACATAAGATTTAAATGACAGACACTGGCCCATCCAACAAACCCATAAACCTACTCTCCCCCCCCCTCAAATATCGACCAACCAACACCCTAGAAAACACATCCTTATAATCCCTGCAAAGGTTTAAAAAAAGTGTAATTGCGCTTAGAATTATATACAACAGATCACCAGATGCTTGCAACTATATTTCTCACCACTGTGTCAAATACTTCACACATAATGTTTGTAGTTCCCAAAAATTTACCAAAAAACTTTTATTTTTATTATTATTCAAAACAAATTATTATTCAAAACAATTTGGAACAATGTCCATGGTTCAACATCTTTAAAAGGAAAGCAAAACTGGATCATTTTGATGTTCCTGCATTTTATTTGTTTTTAATAATATCACCACTTAACCGTAAAGGGGCCGGGGGGGGGGGGGGGGCAACCCCCCTCAACTTTCTACGCGATAGTCCAAGCTGTTCTGACTTTTTAGCCTCGGGCCTTGCGCATCTTTTGATAATAAAAACATTTAAAAAATTCGGCGCTACGCTACACGCCGTGGAAACTATATGTAGTGTACACAAAGCAGAATTACCATTCGTGCATATGAATAATTAATTAGCCATAATTCCAAAACCCTTTGACCTGTAGTCATGAAATTTCTTGGGTATGTAATTTGAGTTGTTCTATGCATGCACCGAGTTTCATAATTTTTCATCACTCGATGGCCAAGATCTTAGGGGATCCCCCCCCCCCCCCCCGGCTGAGAGATGGTCAAAATAACCAGGCCCTTTAGGGTTAAAATCAAAAGAATGTTCCAAACCGTGGTTTCAGCTCAGTAGATATGCCTTTTGAGAAAACTGGAAAATAAATCTTCATTTTTCCAGACGCAAAGCACAGGTCCGTGGACTGAACTTTAAAACGATGGTTGTGTTTAAAATTCCGTAACTTGAAAAGTACATGAGTGATTTGAATGATTCTTGTACTAAAAGAAAGCTTATGAATTGGGCTTTCGTATCCTAGATTTTCAAAGTGCTACTTGCAGAACTTCACTAACACAATAGTCCCGACATTTGGGTTGCGCTTTTTTGACTCACCCTGTACTTTGCCCAAGTACACAAAACTCTTATTGTCAACATTCCTAATATCAATAGATTGTTTGCACTGCGGTCATCTTTGAGGTGTGTGCTTTTGTTCAACAGGAATACGCATGAGTAGACTTCTTGTGCATTCATTGTTAATGAATTAACATAACAAAGCACACCTCCAAGATGGCTGCTGAATGCAATCAATCTATGTTTAGTGACAATGATATCTAGAACGATGCAAGAATAACATTTTCTAAATAATGGATAATCACAAGGCTCTCTTTGAAGAGAAATGGCTGCTAGAATTTCAGAAAGTTTTTTTTACCCCCAAAAACTTGTATTGGTCATTTTCTGAAAAACATTTCAGCAATATTGCTGTGTGTGTTAGGTACACAAAAAAACCCAATTACATAAGATATAATTATATGATGCAAAAAAAAAGTCTCTGGTTTCTGGTATGGAGCTTGCCCCAAGAGTGGTGTGGTGACGTGTTTTTTTATTTCTTCAAAAGTCGGCTGATGTTGCAGATTCGATCCCCTTAAAACGCTTTGATCCCCTTAAAACTTTCAAAATATCTTTCAGAGTGGAGCTTGAGGTGACCTCAGTAATGCCATAAGGCTTGAGAATTCTGTACCCACTTACGATCTCCACTGACACGAACATTCTTCGGGAAATTAGGATAGTCAAGATCAAAATCAGACGAAACGGTAACGTCAAACCCATACAGCGACATCAACATCATGCATGTGCTGCCAGGCTGGTTATTAGTCTGCTCCCTTATATATTGCTCTAATTGAAAAACGTTTACAGGTTCCAGATACACGACCATTGCTCCCACAGTCTGGCTTCCAGACACACAATTACCAAATTACAACACTGTCTGCAAATGGTGCCCGACTAAATTTAGTACAAAATATATGGGAGCCCAGAGAGGCTCCCATATATAACCCCATCTAAAACATTTTAAAATTGTGCAGCAACAGGATTCCAGTCAAACCAGTGAGTTTTGCAGTTTTGAGACATCATCTTACATTGAACATTTCAAAACAAAAAATTGCCGACACGCATGGCTACGGCGATGCGCGCGGAGACCAGAAACCGGAGACTTTTTTATTGCCTTCTAAAGATATTGTCATATTTCCTTCAATTGCTGGCCTACACTGTTACTCCAAGGCCTTTTAGATGACCCGACGCTTTTTTCACGACCTGTATGCACACACACACACAAAAACCAAGGAGAGGAAAAATGATACATTGTTTTTGTCAAAATTAAATTCAAGAACTGAAACTGGTTATTTTCTTTAATATCAGAATATTAAGGAGTTTTCTGCTTTTTTATGTCCAACACAAAAGGTTTGGACGAAATTAGGACTTCCTGTGACCACTCCCTGCACTGTTTTGCCATCTTGGGAGCCTATTTACAACACACTGGCCAGTCATCACACTGAGGCAAGGGATGCCACTACCTTCCGACCTTCCAGTTTGACACACGATTCACTATTAGCACCACAACAGCATCCCAATGGTGCATTGTGGGGTGCTGTGGTCCAATGGTTACAGTGTTTGACTCGTGGTTACGGTGTTCGACTCGTGTGCCGTGGTACATGGGTTCAAATCCTGACGGGGAACATAGTGCTTGTGTGCTTGGGCAAGGCACTTTACTACGATTGCCTCTCTCCATCAGGGATCGGAGTATAAATGGGTACCTGTGAAGGTAGAGACCATATTGCATGGATCTTGAGCTGCTGCAGGGTCTCATTCCTGATGAACAGGGATAATAATTGTGATGTGCATTGAATCACATTCTTATGGAATTTGAGCGATTAAAATGTAGAAATTATTATCAATTATTATTGAACATGCAACAAGTACAGAGCATACATGCACGAAGAGAGAGTCAAGTAACCTGGAATGCAGACTGGAAGACTGCCCTATGTGCTCTGTGCACCAACGACAGAGGGTGCGTTTTTACCACTTTTGAGAGCCCTGTGGGTGGGACACACAGCGTGCGCGTACTGAACTGTACAGGTTCGTGCGTGAAGTACGCACAACTTTCTGAATGTGCCAAAGCTATAGCTACAGCGTCTTCGCGTGAGCGTCAGGCATCGTCGGCGCGTGAATACGTTCAAATTTAACTTGCGATGGTCTCCCAGACTAGTCCCCGCCCGCAATAACTGTGGATCATTCCAAATCTGCAGTGGATGGACCGGGAACCAGTCTAGGTCCCCCCCCCCTAACTCTCCTTTTCTGGTCGTTGAAGGGGTACTTGTGCACAGAGCCCATAGCAAATAATATTACACAACATCATGTGTGGGTTATGCAGGATTCCATGACTTTTCCATGCCTATTTCCTTGGAATTACAACTTTCCATGACTTTTGTCTATGAAACCAAATTTCTGTGACTCCTGTTTTTCCCATGAAAGCTTTCAATTCCACGATTTTCCAGGATTTTCCAGGATTTTCCAGTTTTTTTCCATGACCGTCCTGTTCAGGCTTCCAAGCTACAGTGCCAGTGCACTTTTGAAGAATCCTTTGTTTCATTACCGAAAAAAATTCAAATATATAAATAAATAAATGCATGAAACATCAACGGACCTCTTTATCTTCGTCTTTCTTGACGTCGTATTCCTTGGCTTTGGTCAGGAAGGTTATGGCGTCTTCCTTGTTTCCCATTTTAAGGTAAGTTGTGCCCAGCATCAGCAGGTTCTTGCTGTAGAAACCAGGACTGACTGATAAGCAAAAAGAAAATAAGGAAAAACAAATTGGTAATAAGTATACAGTAAACTCCAGTCAAGTCGACATCGTACAACTCGTCAAATTGCTCAAGTCGGCCGTCTGACTAAGGTCCCGATTGTCTGTAATGCATTTCCATTGAATTTTTAATTTCTAAGTCGGCTTTTATAAGGCACTATTTCGCTCAAGTCGTCGTGTTACTCTCGGTCCCCTTTCCATAAAAAGCCTAACGAAATCCTCTGTGTAAGTCGGCATTCAAAAAATCATGCATTGGCATCGACTTCCTGTACTGCCGTTGGCAAGAAATGTAGAGTGAAAAGTGTTTTGGCATGGCCCGTGAATCATGTGTGCATAAAGGCCATTCATGTAAGTCGGCAAAATGACAACTTACAGCAGATGTCTGCACTCGCGTAAGTCGTCACAAATTCTAGGGTCCCGAGAGTGCCGTCTTAGCCGGAGTTCACTGTATTATTGTTTTCCCCCAATGTGGCGTGGCCCCTAACATGGCGCACTTTGATTTTTTACCTCTTTTGCCTTGCTAGAGTAAACGTTTTACCTCAAATTTCACAGTAAGTGAAATTTCATCAAGCTCTAAACATACCTGTTCATTAACCTCGAGTTGACCTACTCGTTACAAAGTTAACCAAGACATTTATTTTGGCTTGACTTTCCAATGCTATTGTCGTTCAGAACGGCAGTGGCATGGCCTTGTTCTGAACGCCATGCCATTGCCGTGCTGAATTCAATTCAATTTGAGCTGTGGGTTTAACATGTTATGAGTGTGCATGCTCCAAATAACCTGTTGTGTCTGCATCGCAGGGAACACATGTGGCTAAATTCAACTACATGTCATAAACCATTATCATGTTGCGGCCATCTTGATTTTTTTTTTTCATTCAAATCAACGTAACCAAAGCGAGGCTGGAAGGAAAATAGTCTGGTTCCTTTTTGATCAAAACACCATTATCATTTAGTACTGGTATTGGATACACGGAAAATGACTGAAATGATGGCAGCATGATAAAGGTCTGTTAAGCTTGGCTTTTAGAGCAACTGTGGTGCTATTGGACCAGCTATTGCTGAGATCGATTCACTTGAGTTTGGCAGGGCAATAGCACAGCATTAAGAACAGGCCTTACAAACATCAAACACAAAACAACTGTATCTGATGTATCTGGTTGACACAATAGAACTTTGTCAAAATTATTGCAAAAAAGAAAAAATTCAACTTTCCTCAATGTAATTAAGGCCACCAAAAAAAACGTCTTTAGTTTCTGGTATGGAGCTTGCCCCAAAAGTGGTGCGGCGACGCGGCTTTTTTCTGCTTCAAATGTCGGCTGATGATGCAGATGACGCTTCAATCTCCTTAAAACTCTCAAAAATATCCTGCAAGGTGGAGCTTCAGGTGACCTCAGTAAGGCCATAAGGCCCCAAAACAAAAAGTCTCCGGTTTCTGGTATGCGCGCGCGTCGCCGTAGCCATGTGCATCGGCAAAATGAAAAAGTTTTTTTTCAATAAAAGATGATGTCCCAAAACCGCCAAACTCACTGGTTTGACTGGAATCCTGCTGCTGCTTTTAACGTGTTTTTGGATGGGGTTATGATCGAGAATAGCTTTATGTGGCCTCTCTGGACTCCCATATATTTGCACTAAGTTTAGTCAGACACCATTTGCAGTCATCAGCCGACATTTGAAGCAAAAAAGTCAGTAAAAAAAAAAAAAAAAGCCGCGTCGCCGCACCACTTTTTTGGCAAGCTCCATACCAGAAATCGGAGACTTTTTTTTTTTGCCTATGGCTAGAGAATTCTGCACTGACACAAACATTTTCTTCGGGAAATTTGGATAGTCAAGAAAAATCAGTGAGACGGTAACGTCGGACCATACAGCGACATCGACATCGTGCCTGTGCTGCCAGGCTGGTCATTACAGTCTGCTCCCTTACACATTGCGCTAATAAAAAAGCATTTACAGGTTCCAGATACACGACCATCGCTTCCACACACACAATCACAAAAATACCACACCGTCTGCAAGTGGTGCCCGACTATTCTGTGCAAAATATATGGGAGCACAGAGAAGCCACATTAAGCTTATACTCGATCGTAACCCCATCTCAAAACACTCAGCGGATTTGGCGGTTTTGAGACATCATCTTACATTGAAAAAAAAAAACTTTTTAATTTTGCCGACGTGCTACGGCTACGTAGGGCTACGGCGACGCGCGCGCATGCCAGAAACCGGAGCTTTTTTTTTTGGCCTAAGTGCTGCTTTGTTAAATAAATAGGTGTGCGAGCATCCTTGATTCTGCATGGGGGTTGAATGAAAAATAAGGTCTCATTTTTCCATTTGGGTTTTAAGAAAGATTACTCACTCTCTTCGGCTTTCTTGAAATTGTCAAGTGCCTGCGGGCAACAATTGAAAACAATTAAAAACTAAAACATATTATGTCACATGATTGCTGTCAAGAATACAGAAAACGACACAGAAATTATACAAATTTAAAGAAAGAAAATTAACTAGACTTATTCATTCAAAGATTTTCAATCGTTTATAAAACAAAACCTACAAATCAAGACAATAAAACAAAAGTAGCAAACAAGACAAATTGTTTAAACAAGAGATTCCAGTGAACTGGAACGACCTGAGATATGCAAATTAAAAAGTAACAGATGAGTCATGCTTAAATCTCTCCAAACATGAGAACCTGATCATGTCAGAATCTTGATGCAAAAGTGGAATTAATAAGGTGTTTCACGGTAATATGCGCCATCTTATTCACGGGGAGAAACAGAACATGCGTTGCTAAACGCGGGCGCATTTTGGAATGAACGCATGATGTCTTGGAAGCGCAAAAGTGTTCCATTGCTGATGCATACACAGCAACCAGTATCCAACCTGTAAAAATAACCTGGTGCCTCGCCATGCTTTCTGAGGCACCCGCCATGCTTTCTGAGGCACCCGCCATGCTTTCTGAGGCACCCGCCATGCTTTCTGAGGCACCCGCCATGCTTTCTGAGGCACCCGCCATGCTTTCTGAGGCACCCGCCAAGCTTCAAAAGTTGCCGCCATGCTTTAAAAAAAAGGAAAAAATAATAAAAAAGACAAACAAGTGGGACTACCCTTACCCTCCAGGGTACATTTTGGCCAGAAACTCTGCCAAAAGCAATAACATGCAACACTTGTCAAACTGACAAGCCTGCCCATTATTTGTAGCAATCCATCAGATCAAAAGTCTCAAGGCCAAACTGCCTCAAGAGTCCCTGGTCACTGATGTGTTAAAAAAGATGATGCTGAGCCAGTATTTTAGTTAACTGTTAGTGTTACTGTGTTAGAAATGGCATAAAAGCTGTTATCCATACATAAATTACATGTTCATCTGCAAATACCGCCCCAAGCATAAAGAAATGTATGACTGCAAATAGCGCCCCTAACATATAGCGCGCCCCCCGAAAGTGTTCTTTCAGCAAAACAAAAACAACGCTCATAGGGATGCATGTGAATTGTTTTTGTTTTGCTGAAAGAACACGTCCCTTTTTTGTGATCCTTGGACAAAACTTTAAAACGGTGGTTGCATTCAAAATTCCGTAACTTGAAAAGTACATGAGTGATTTGAATGATTCTTGTACTAAGAAAGCTTGTTGATTGGGCTTTCTTGTCCTAGATTTTGAAAGTGCTACAATTTTGTTCAAAATTCCGCCACTTGAAAAGTACATGAGTAATTTGAAAGATTCTTGTACTAAAAGAAAGCTCATTGATTGGGCTTTCTCATCCTAGATTTTGAAAGTGCTACAGGCAAAAATTCATTCAAAAATTGATCCTGCCATTTGGGTGCGTTTTTTTTTTTTTACTCGCCCTGTATAGGCAATTCATGTGCATTACGGGGTAATCCTATATGACTGCACTGCCCAGCTCACAAGTAACAGTCGGTGAAAAAAAGAACGAAAAACAAACAAACAAACAAACAAATATCCAAGTATTTACCTCTTGGTAGGTTGAGGTTGGCGGACTGCCAAAAACGACAGCTGCAATCTTGCGCTGGTACCACGCCATGTCGGCAAACGTGAAACACCTGCAGAGGCAGCAATGCCAGAGGGTTAATCATCCCTTGGAAGAAAAAGACAATTCAACAGATTGAGGAACACAATCATTTCGTCATCGGCACCATGAACTGACAATCAGTTGCGCTTGAGTGCGCTGCACGCGCGCGTATTTACAGAACCGGGTTATTTTGGGTTTCACGAACTGACATCCTCCACAGTGCAGCACTTTTAGAGTGCATCCCGTACATTTTTGGTTTCAAGAACTGACACTTACCTTAATTTCACCAATTAAAATGCTCTTTAATTAAATTTTTGTGTAAGCACACAAGTATACGGATGGATTAAATTCATGTCAAACCTTTCAAACTGTTTTTGTCCATTCTGTATTGCCGCATCATGCTTGGGTGTCAGTTCATTCAAACGAAAACCTTCCTATTTTGCATCAGTGTCTGATGTGCGTGCGCACTACCGGGTGTCAATTTGTGAAACCGAAATTGATGATTACGTGGTTTCCACACACTGACTCCCACTTGCGCGTGAGTGTCAGTTCGTGGTGCCGATGACGATTTATCCCGAGTAGACTCACCATAGCCCCATGAGATGATAGCAAGTAGCATCCTTTGGATTGATATCAATGGCTTTCTGCAAAATAAATTTTTCAAAATACGATAATTCAACAAAATCTGTATGTTTGATTACACATTCATAAAACCTGCGACAGTTTACCCATTCCTATGAGCTCCGTGCGCTACCAAAAGAGGGCGCCCTTTTACCTAACAACGACGTCCCATGGGCGGGACATTTCGCTGGTTGACGCGCACCGTTCCTTGTGTGTGACGCACGTACACCAGGGGATTTGTACCATTTACACGCGCAGTGGCCGCGCTTCGTGGCAAATGAATTGCAGTCAGGCAAGATGGCGTCGGTCGGTCACCCCCAACTGTACTTCCTTTGCCGGTGAGCGGGTGCTTGTGAACGGAGCGGATTGGTTGAGAGCCCGTCACGTGGGTGGTTTTAAACGGTTGATAAAACACTGACTGGCTGGTTTTAAACACTTTTCTTGTGTTACATGAAATTTGGACTCCGATGAAATCTGGCCCCTTTTACCCTTTTATTGGTTGAACATTTACAATCTTCACTTAGGCATGCCCAATACTACCAACGAGTCCGTATTTCATAGAGTCCTCAATTCACACTACACCAAGAAGTGGCCATTATTTGGCCCAAGGAATAGAAGGGGAAAGCCACCCATTGTTGTAGGTACCGGTAGTAAGTTCAAAAACTGTGTAATGGCATTATTCAATAGTCGGCACGTGTTCAAAGTCGTCTTTCAGTAACTACCAGGGCATGCAGGGTGAGGTTTTGAAGGGCGATTATTATTGAAAAGTGAGTACCAGAGCACCGGCAGTTTACAATCGCTATACCGAACGATCGCTATTACAAACAATTTCTGTGGATCCCGCAATGTTCGTTATAGGGGCGTTCCAATGCAACCCCAAAGATGAAGGTACAATGAATTAAAATCCTAATTCAGGATTTAATTGTTTGTATCTATCTTATAAGGTACTCGTATTTTCAAAATTTGACAAAATTTGGACGAAATTTGACAAGATTGAAACATAACGGGCGTATGTCCTTCAACCGTTATTATTCAAGAAGGTCAAAGGTCATGACATTGACATTTCTGAACTCTTACCTGAAAATGGTCCCTGATGATGTAAGCATTGGCCACTTTCTTCTTTGTTTCTTCATAGTCGCCAACTTCACTGATGCATATAGCATACCACTTAGAATACAAAAATGCAAAATAAGTACCATTTGGCTATTCTACAAATGTCATATTTCTCTAAGTAATAGCGCACTGTTGGTATTGTAATATTTGTGCCGCAAACACCAACTTTTTGCACTGTAAATCACTCATATCTTGTTTCCATGAAATTGCAGCAAATTCCTATGCAAATAAACATTCTATGCAAATTTGTGCTTTCAGTAAAAATCAACTAATAAGGCCAAATGGAAAAAAAAACCAACATGTTTTATAGCGTCCTGCCTTTTTGAAAAAAAGGAAGCGGCAGGCCCTTTTTTCCCCCCTCCAAAATGGCCGCCCGACCGGGCCATTTTTAAAGATGGCCCTCAGTTTTTTTGTCTACCGTAATTGTCGGAATTTTAGCCGCGCGAAGTATAAGCTGCAGCATGCACAAATCTGCAAATTAAGATTTGAAGTCGGCGTATAAGCCACACCGGCATATAAGGCGCAGCAGTTTCAATTTTGTAAGGCCTCCAAATTCTAGTCAAAATGCTCTGAACCAGTTCCATTTACACTACAGAAGCTGTAAAAAGGGCCACAAAAGTCAAATCATTTATAGTCGATACTCTTACAAACAAATATGGAAATTGATGATGAGAAATAAACACCGGGAATTGCTGCCGGCTGGCCCGTCCGGTCCGCGGCCTTAAAAGTTAGCGCATGGCAGCCTGCGCTGCCGAATGACAGCATTTTCCCGCAGCACGTGAGAGAGTATGCAACCCACCATGTGTCGTCTGACTGGGGCGCTACAAATCTTGCTTTGTGGCAACAGATGCTGATTTGTTTTGTCCTAAGAATAAACAGGTCCATTTTTACAACAAAACTTATCAAATTGTTGTTATTACTAATGAGTAGTAACGTCAAAAATTCAAGTCAACAAAACGTTGAAAACAGTCAACACGATGCTGAAATTTTTATGGACGAATCCATTCGTAAGGGGTGATTTAGCCCCTGTTTTGAGTTTTACATCGTTTCTTGAATGCATTTCTAGAAAAAAATATATTGTGACATGAAACAACTGATTATCGAATAAAGAAATATTTCGGACTCTATAAAAAAGTGTTAGTTGTTATTGTTTTTTTAAACAGTGGAAATATTGGTAATTATTGTTACACCCCTTAATTACCACAAATTACACCCCTTTATTACCACAAATGGTTGGTCTGCATGGGGCCAGGATACCGCGGCAATGCAGCGCATGCAGATCAGCATGCAGCACTAGTATCACGTACGGCCGGTCGAAAGCAGCATCAAAGAGACCGTGAGCTTTAACTCACGCATGGCCGGCCAGCCTGCCGTGCTTTTTACCGCTCGGTACCTTTTCGTGGGACGTGCTTTCGGTTAGTTAATGACTTTCTTAATTGATAATTAAATTCAACAATAGATCTTTTCTCTCTAATATACCAGTACATTAAATACACATGTAAATGTCATTTTTATTTTTTAAGGCACGGCGTATAAGCTGCTCTGGGTATAAGCCGCAGTAAACATTTTCATGGGCAAATTCAACATATAAGCCGCGGCTTATATCCCGAAAATTAAGGTAAATGGCCGCCACTGGACTCAGGAAATGACATACCAGCTTTATATGGGCTAGATGCAACAGATAAGATGCCGAAATGAGGTCACTGTTTGAAAATTTATCATTTTTCGGTTAAAAAAGAAAAAGAAAAAAAAGGAGGTGGCCTCCAAAAAGGAAGTGGGCGGGGACGCCAAACGTGGTTTTTTTTTTTTTTGGCCTTTTTAACAGATAATAGCTCGGAGCCTACATGTACATAAAGCAGGCTTGACTGGCTGTGACTGTTTATGTAACTTGATATGGCTATGCTTTGACTGCAGGTGATTGATAAGCCAGCTGTGCCTACCACTTGCCTGCTTTTGTCTGTTTACTGATATACAAATATTGAGTGGCTCAGCGTGGAATGGGAGGAATATTATCACAAGGTAAAATCTGGACTTTTCCATTTCACGAGGCGAAGCCGTGTGAACGGGAAAAGTCCAGATTTTACCGAGCGATAATATTCCTCCCATTTCACAATTTAAAGCCACTCAATATTTGTTTTATATAACTGACATATAGATCCTTGTCATTTGATATATTTGAACTTTTATTTCAATACAAAACTGGAGGAAAATGTAATTCTCTCTTCCAAACCACCCCTTCACGAAAATGTTTGAATCCAACGCTGTAGCGCTGGCTCTTTGGAACAATACGTGCTACGCGCAACGCTAAACGCGCACACCAGCATGCATTCGCACACAAATACCGTGTAATAAAACAAGAATGATCCTAACTTTTGAATAGTATTTCCAATTCCCCATGAGCGGATAGTACTTTTTGAGCCGCGGCGTGAATGGGAGCAATAACGAATGTCACGTGATGTGAGTTCCATCAATCAAATGACAAGGATCTGTATGTCGGTTATAAAAATTTAACTAGTCACAGTGCTTGCTTGAAATACGATTTGACTGTTGGTGACTGGCCTGTGTACAAGGCATGGCAGGGGAGAGAATTGGATTTTTTTGACTGTCTGTGACTGTTCAGACAGAAGGAGGGTTAAGGTCTCCAAAATAGAGTATGGCTGTGCATTTTCAACTAATCTAGTAGTTGATTATTCGAACTTGGGCTTGACTGAATATTTGAATATTCAATTTCAATGCGCCAGCCTATGGCAACCAATTTAGATGTTAATGTGCCTGTGCTTGTCGAAAAAGAGCACATTAAAAATAATATAAAGAACAGGATGTGGAAAAAGATTGTGCATTTACGGGTAGTACAGGAACCGGGTCCCTGATTGAAAAACAACAACATGGGTACCTGGGTACCCGTTAAAGAAACGCCAAACATGCCAAAATTCACATCTCGGAAGTTGCTGTTGATATTGTTGACAAAGTCTGCACGGTAATACTGTACTACTGCATTGTCGCATCAATACAGCACGATTCAAGTGTGTACATAGCTTTATAGCTTTACGGTGTAAACTTCAGCTTTTGCGAGCGTCATAAGAGTGAAATATGTTTTGTTTTCCCAAGTTGCCTGATTTCATTTTGAAACTTCCCCACAAATGACTTCAAAACCTTTCTTTTTCATTGCCTGAGAAGTAACTAAGTACTTTGTAAAGAGATCCCATAATCTAGAACCAGTTCCTGACATTAACGGTCGGGTTCTCAGGTACAACCCTAATATTAAGTGGCTAATATTTGACCAATTAAAAGAAGAAATTTGAGCTTATCTTCCTGGAAGCACTCAAATCATGCACAAAAGTGACACGAGACAAACAACAAAACCATGCCATTTATAGGTTTGAGGTCATTACCTCGTGCAAATTAACTCGAGGTCATTTACCTTATGCAAATCCACTTGAGGTCATTGCCTTATGCCAATCAATGATGTCATTACCTCATGCAAATCAACTCAAGGTCATTTCTTTCTTACAATTGGATTTCAGGTCACTACCTCAACTTGAGGTCATTTACCTTATGCGAGGCAAAGTTCTTGTCGTTGATCTCCAGGCATCTCTTGGCATACTCAAACGCCTCGTAGGTCAGTTCTTTCTTGCGTTCGGCCTTGGTGATATTCATCTGAGCCACGTCCCGTATGGCCCTGCACAGCCGCCACAGTACCTCCTCGTTGCGGGAGTCCTTGTACTGGATCAGGAAGGCGTGCAGCTCCAGCGGCTGGTGTTCGTTGTACAGACGGTCTGCCTCCTCCACTATCTCGGCGTCCGAGAGCGACTTGGGGTCCTTGTCGTCGGCCATTGTGGAGTCTTTAGTATCTGAGCAAAACAAAACAGTCAGAAATTTATGTAGAATACTAGTTAAACCTGTACTGACCATAGAGCTGCTTGAAGCAAATTCGGCGAGGACCATTCATTGACTAGTGATGATTTGTGATGTAACTTACACTTGCGCACAAAAAGCAATGTGCGAATGACTCCTGTCACTAGGGATGAGATTGTCAAATTAAAAAAGAGTCTGAAAATTGTTGAAGTATGCATATCATCATCAAGTTGGCCACAGCCGTGCTCCGAATGCCCCACTCCCTCCGGTCCCCCATAAGGGTGGCAAGCTCGCCAGGAGTCTCCACTCCAGTGTCTTTCTTCAGCACCCCCAAGAAGGAGATCTTGACCTCCCTAGACATCGTTGAATTCCAGATCTTTCTTATGTCGTTCAGGGCCTTCCAAGCTTTGGCTTTCCTGATGCTGATGTCGCCCTCCGTCGAGTTGCATATCTCTCTATACCAATAATGTCTCTCACTCAAAATTCAAAAAGTCTGATTTCAGACAAAAGTCTGAAAAATCTCATGCCTGTGTCACATGGGTCCAGGCTTCCAGCTCGCTGAGAATCCATTGGAGATGATGCGTGCGGCTATTGGAAACCAGCGATATATGACAGTGCCTCAGGCTCCGCTTCCAAATAGTCGACTACAGTAGTCCAACCATCCCGCGCTCGAGTGAAGTTTGCCGAGCGATGGCTAACCATTGTCCTTGCCCCAAGCTTGCTCGATCTGAAACTACTGCTAGTAAGCAAATAAGTCATGATATGTTCTGGAACTCACACATTGACAGAATATCAGGTAAGGCCCAAAACAAAAAATATTCGGTCTCTGGTCAGACCAAAGTTCCGGAATTGACGCGGCCACGCGGCTTTTTTTTTTTGGGGGGCTTTTTTTTTTTTTTTCTTCAAGCTTGGATTGTACAGACAAGGTAGGTACTATTTTGCTTTTTTGGTGTCCTCATGTACATTGGTGTCCTCCATAATTTGCCTTGGTGCTTTCGATCATTTGCCTTGGTGCAATTTCCCATTCCTTGGTGCTCTTTGGTAAAAAAAAATTAAGAAGGTGCGGAAATAGAGGGCGCTGTTGGAGCTACCGCGGAACATTTTGGAAAAAAAAAAGATTGACGCGCATGATTAAAATCGACGCGCGCGCTGACCAGAGACCGACTTATTTTTTTTTTTGGCCTAAAGCTAATAGAACTTTGGGTTTTGTAAGAAAGAACGTATATGCCTGTCCCAAACATATCAAAGAAATCTCATATTACATCTTGGTCAGACCAATATTGGGACTACTGTTCCTCAGTATGGGATCCCTATACTAAAAAGCTCATAGACCAGCTAGAAGCAATTCAAAACAGGGCCGCTAGATTCGTCACAGGGATACACTGACATAAAAGTAGTGTTACAGCCATGAAAAAGGACTTAAACTGGGAAGATTTACAACAGAGAAGGAAAGTAGGTCGTCTCACAAACTTCCAACAAGCGGTCAATCCAAGACAAGAAGAACTTCCAAGAAGCAGTACACAACTACCTGAGCCAGCAAAACAAATAACTCATCACTCTCTCCGCAATTTCATCAAGCGCACCAAACCCTGCCCGGTTGGCCCCCTATATTTAGGGGTGTTGGGCAGTATCGCAACAAGACAAGACAAGACAAATATGAGTGCTGGGTAAAATTTGGCCGGGTACCAGTCCATGTCAATAAATGCTGCATTTTGGCTGGTAACCTGTTGTCGCGGAGGAAATTCTTTCAGTGCTTGACATAACACTGTGTACAGCAAATCTGTATGCTTGGTTCTGGGAAGGACAATGTCAAATAAATCCTAATCACGTTAGAGCAACATGATTGAGATTTTGAACAGATGCCAACATGCATGATCTCTGTACACGCACCACAACTCTCTTTAGAAGCATTTTTGATAACACTGCTGAGTGGACTAAATAATGACGCAATTTTTGCATCTCCAAAAAATCCAAAAAAATGGAGACAACGTTTTTGGGGGGGGGGGGGGGGGTTAGGGACGGTTTGGTGTTGCTAGCCCAGTGGACGTGTGGATAATGCATGTAGATCCAAATTCACTTTTGGACACAATGACCTGCAAGAAAGGGCCAATGCCACACTGCCCATCATGAGTTTGAGTCATTTCCTATGCACTTTTGATGCTATCTTCCTTTACAGAACAAAACAATCAATTGGGCAAAATGAACTACTATCATCTCTCCTGTGCTGTCAATCTGTATCAAATTCCTAAACTACGAATACACTTTACAGTACAAAATATGACTGAGTACATCTGTTTTTGTCCGTTAACCCTAACTATCACAGTGTGTGAAAAAATATATTATAATTCAAGGTTTCAAGACTGTTAGGAGTATACTATTATTTCTTTAAATAGTATTTTTTAAAAATTCATTATACCTGAGACAGTTTACCAATTCCTATTGGTTGAGAGCCCATCCAGTGGTAAAACACCGCTGCATTCTGCGCCACATCATGCACTACGCGCCGCACGCGTGCCAATCTCCATTATAAGGAGATTTTAAAGCAGTGCTGGGAATTAAAACTGTACTACCTACCTGGCTGACTGCTTGACCAAAACCCTATGCCCCTTGATGCTATGAGTGATGTAGTGATGAAGGTGCCAAACCGGAGCCTTCTAGCACGAGAAGATTGAGGTAGAAGTTGGGAGTGCTGTAGAATGACACAAAACAAGAAATAAATTTAAAAAATATTTAAAAACATAACCTATGTAGGCAAATAAGCAGAAATATGGAATGTGATCAACTTCAAAATAAACAGATCTGACTAGCACCATTGACAACGACAGTAACTTATTGAGAGGTTGCTACTACATCGCCTGAATAGCTCAGTTGGTAGAGAACTGGTATGGTGTACCAGAGTTCGAAGATTCAAATCACGCTGCAGACACATTTATTTCTTTGTTCGAGATCAAAACTATTTTGCGCAAAAATTCCACACCTCGAGAAACAGTATTCCAAACCTCACCACTGGCGTGACACTGATGCTTTCACCATGATGATTAGTTTACCCAAATGTCGGGACCACTGTTTTAGTGAAGTTCTGCATGTAACACTTTCAAAATCTAGGATATGAAAGCCCAATTCATAAGCTTTCTTTTGGTACAAGAATCATTCAAATCACTTATGTACTTTTCAAGTTACGGAGTTTTAAACACAACCACCGTTTTAAGGTTCTGTCCACGGATCACAAAAAAGTTCAGTGTTCTTTTACCAAATCGAAAACGAATCACATAAGGAATTGTGTGAATTGTTTTTGTTTTGCTGAAAGAACACACACCATTTTTGCTAGGGCCTATATGTTTAATACCAATCAGCACTCCATACTCAAGAACCATTGAGTTTCAAGAACATAGGTCTGGGAGCTAGATCAGTCAATGTAAAAAAATGCATGGATGTCCGCGCCAACAGGTAGTATCTGTTCCAGGTAGCCTAAAACAGAACGTCATCAATGAGGACAACAGAGCAAGTCTAGGCCTACATGTACATGTACATGATGTACATGTAAACTGCAGACCCTTTAGGCCTACATTACAATTACACAAATGTCTCACAAATTATACAACATACATACCTTCTGTTTTATCTTGCCGTACAGCTAGGATTTTGGCGACTGAACATTTATCCAGTACACTTCCACAGTGCAGTGTACTAACTATGGACAGCACAGTACAGAACAAGCACAGGTGAATGTATGTGTCAAGGCTGCCAAAAATAGATCATTGTATTGTTTGTTGAGGAAGGTCAAAGTGCAAAATGCCCTTTCCTGTTCATGCAGTGTTAAGGTATGATAATAATTCTATTGATTATTGATAACGCTGTATCCAAATGTGGGTCATTCTATGCATTGGGGTCTACTTTTCTTTCTGTCCCTGTTAGGCCCAAAAAAAAATAATACTCGGTCTCTGGTCAGCGCGCGCATCGATTTTAATCATGCGCGTCAACCTTTTTTTCAAGCTACAACAGCGCCCTCTATTGCCGCGCCTCCTCAAATGGTTGTACCAAGGAGCACCAAGGAATGGGGAAATTGCACCAAGGCAAATGATAAAGGGCACCAAGGCAAATTATGGAGGACACCAATGTATAATGAGGACACAAAAAAGCAAAATAGTACCCACCTTGTCTGTACAATACAAGCTTGAAAAAAAAAAAGTCACCAAAAAAAAACCACCGCGTCGCCGCATCAATTCCGGAACTTCGGTCTGACCAGAGACCGCCTATTTATTTTTTTTGGCCTTACTTCTAAAATTTATATAATTCTGATGCAATCCTTCACAGCGTCGTCTTCCGAGAGTGATTTCTAATAGCAAACTACTGTACATGTATACCCACCCAATACTTGAATGGCAAATTACAATTTACCAAGGTAACAGGGACATGACAAATATCACATTTTAGACCCTAACTTTATAGAATGACCTTGACATGTATGTCACTGTACAGAATATTAATTATGCACATGTGTGTATACACGTAGGTACATGGATTTGTAATTTGGTTGGTACATGTACAAGTTTCTTGCAGGAATTTAATGAAATGTCATTTACAAAAAGCTACTTTGATCAAGTTTGATGTTATGGAAACATTATATTTGTGTTGTTACAGATGTTATATTAAACCACTATGAATGTTACATATGTACACGTCTGAAATCAACTTCACACACGTGATACCGGTACATTTAAACTTACTAGCTGAATTATACTATTCTACCGGTAAGTTCTCTGTTTTATTATTTGTTATAAAACATGAATCTTTTTCTGTGCCTAAAAAACAAAAACTCACAATAAACACTTGCGTTTTGCATGTGAAAATGACTACCTAAATCTATAATTTTAGCTTCGAAACCATTCTAAAAAAATAAAATAAAAAATACTACCACATTTTCTTTGAAAGGTCTTATTGTCCCCTTTAATTTGATACAACATTTGGGGTTGTGATGCTTGTAGTTCTGAGGATTTCATAAATTTTCCACTTTTTTGCCATGTCCATTTTCAGGTTGAATTGCCAAATGATGAAAATGTATTTTTAGATGTGTAACAATGCAAGGTTATGCACCAATGGACACAAACTAAGAAACATCTTTGAGGTCAATAACACATGTTAAGATACATGTATGTAAACCAAAGAAGCACCAAACACTAAAAATTGATTTCACTCTCATTCCATATGAAAGGCATGGTTCTCTGTGTTAAACAGACATGCTGTTGTAATAGAAATCAGTTATTTATAGGCCTAAGAAAGTTTGAACCGGAATGATTGGCAAGGATAATTCTAAACCAAATTCAATGATTGCTTTCTTTTGAGCAATGCCATTTCAGGTTTTTGGTGCCAGTCCTTTCTTCAATTTGAGCCTTTTTTTTTCTTACTGAATTTGTAAGGACATAATTACGCACCAATGTTAGGCCAAAAAAAAAAAAAAAGTCGGTCTCTGGTCAGCGCGCGCGTCGATTTTAATCATGCGCGTCGATCTTTTTTTGCCTCAAAATGTTCCGCGGTAGCTCCAACAGCGCCCTCTATTTCCGCACCTCCTCAATTTGTTTTACCAAAGAGCACCAAGGAATGGGAATTGCACCAAGGCTAATGATCGAAAGCACCAAGGCAAATTATGGAGGACACCAATGTACATGAGGACACCAAACACGCAAAATAGTACCCACCTTGTCTGTACAATACAAGCTTGAAGAAAAAAAAAAAAAAGCAAAAAAAAAAAAAAAAAAGCCGTGTCGCCGCGTCAATTCCTGAACTTTGGTCTGACCAGAGACCTAATATTTTTTGTGTGTGCCTTACTAAGGGAATTAATGTGTGCTTTGCAGGTTTTAATCACTCTGTTTAAGACCGCTTTGAGTCTGGGTGCTTTCGACAAGGGTAATTATCACCACCCAGACTCCAAGCGGTCTTAAACAGAGTGATTAATACCGACAAAGCACATATTTATTCCCATTCATAAATACATTTTCAGTCAAAAAAAATATCAAAACTTTTCGATAAAAAAACCCATATTTTGTTCAACAAGTTCACTTATGTTTTTTGAAACACCCCTTTAGCTAAATAATGGAGTGTCCAGCTGGCGAGTAAGATGTAAACAACTCCTTTTATTGAGATTGGCATGCACGTCGCGTGTACTGCGTGATGTCGCGCAGAATGCACCTGGGGTGTTGCATTGTGAATTTAGTACTACATGTATAAAATTTTGAGTACTGGGCATGCCTACGAACGTTCAACCAATAAAACAGTGTTTTAAGACCAGCTAGCCATGTCTTTATCATCCGTTTAAGATCGGCTACATGATGGGCTCTCGACCAATAGTCAAGAGGTTAAAGGGGTCAAGGAACCAGACGAAACTTTAATCATCTACTTAGCGTGCGTCAATTTTGGCAAAGCGCACCGTCGCTGTTACCTGTCATTCCAAAATCTTTGGCGCTCTGTAAAGTGCCCGGATGCAATACGCGACCGTGGATGAAGAGCGCACACAAGAGGGCGCGCTTCACTGCAGAGTGCTTCAAAGATTTTGGAATGACAGGCAACAGCAGCAGTGCGCTTTGCCAAAACTGACGCACGATTAAAGCTTTCGTCTGGTTCCTTGACCCCTTTAGCCTCTTGACTATTATTAGGGTGGCCGGGAAATGTCTGGAGACACCATGCTTGTCAAAAACCCTCTGCATTCTTTGACGAGTTACCATGATTTTTGGATAACTAGACCTCAGAAGGTACCGAATTTAACGATTTTGTGCTATTTAGCAGTCATACTATAGCTGGGTTGATTTTCTGCTCACAAAATAATTTCGATCTTTAATTAATTTTCGGCTCCCCCTAGCAACGGGACGCTCCGCGCACAGGCCGTACGTGGCTTTGTGACTTATAATATGGAGGTAGTCCAGTATTTCAGTCACATTTTTGGGACTAGTTGATCTATAACTCTGAAATGTTTTATTTTTAGAACGATTGACATTTGATTTGACATTTGATTACTGACAACTTGTAATGACACAGCGCCGTGTATTCAGCGCGCCAAAATGACATACATCATGATGTACATGCACTGTTGTGCGATGCAAAGCATACAATCTCCCCTCCATCCCAAATGGTCGAGCCGAATGTACAGTTGACCTGCTGAGGTTATGCGAAGATCAGCGCACGCGCAATGTACGTTAACACACACGAAATTGTTGTGCTATTTAGCAGTCATACTATAGCTGGGTTGATTTTCTGCTCACAAAATAATTTCGATCTTTAATTAATTTTCGGCTTCCCCTAGCAACGGGACGCTCTGCGCACAGGCCATACATGGCTGTGTGACTTATAATACAGAGGTAGTCCAGTATTTCAGTCACATTTATGGGACTATAGATCAACCAGCTTACTTTTTTGGTGGATTGGTGTTTCAGAAAGTGGAATTTCAGACAAAGGTATTTCGTCTATCAAAGGGCATTTCCAAAAGCCATAGAGTGCTGACCCCCTAAAAATCACCATGCTAGTAGAAGGCTGACGGAGAGAAGTAGAAGCCTTCAGGGCCCGACACTACACGATCGCCGGCCGTAGCGCCGAGCCGAGGCGGCACCGTGCCTAAGACCCGTGAACGTGGCTTGTAAACTACGCCATGCTCTTGTACAAGTTCGAACCAAGCGAAATCGTCCTTCCGTGACAAAGACTGAACATTGCCTTACCGTGTGATAAGTATTCACATATCAAGCTTTCTTGAACATGTTGAAATCTGCTTTTACGCCAAATCTGGCATTTAAACGATATTTGAGGTAAAATCTGGCAAGATCTCGACGTCCTGCAACCTATTCCGATCATGCATGTGATTTACCACGTGATAAATGCTGCGGATAATTTGGTATCGCACTGACGCTCCGGGCACTCCTGATGTCTGGATCATAAGTGCGATTCCAAATTATTAGCTGCGTTTATCACGTGGCCTCGTTATTGGCCAATCAGACACCGCCTATCATATGCGCCACATGAAGCAGACGGGTAGCTCGGAGGGCTCTGATAATTTTGTACGCAAATGACCCTGGGTACTCGTCCAGGGTCATTTGTCAGGGTGGTCACTTGTCAGGTTAAAATCTAATTTCTACACGTTCGTATGGGTCTTCATTGATGGCAAATTTCGTCGAAATGACACATCCTGAACACGCGGACAGGCAAATTTAGATTTGTAAGTGAGTACTCAACATCCTAGACCCGTGAACGTGGCGTTGTATACAACGCCACGCTGTTGTGTATTTTTGAACCTAGCGAAAATCGATCCGCCATTCCTTTTTTCCGTATGGATGTTGAGTACTCACCTAGAAATCTAAATTTGCCCGTCCGATTGTTCGGACTGTGTAATTTCGACGAAATTTGCCATCAATAAAGACCCATACGAACGTGTAGAATTAGATTTTAACCCGACAAGTGACCCTGACAAATGACCCCGGACGAGTCGCTTGGACAGATTGACGGCTGTTTCATGTCGCAACCCCAAAAAAAAAAAACCCGCAGACGATTGGCTGCTCGGCTCATCTCGTGTAAGTGTGCGCACACGCACGTGGGCGCACATGCGCCCGCGTGCGGTGCGGTGAGAGAGGAAAGGACTTGAAACTAACGTTGTCTCTTTTAGCTGCGACAGTAAACAGCCGTCGAATCATACGAAAAGGGACGGTACAATAAAACGCAATGCGCATGCGTCAGTTGGGAGAAAATGGCAGCTAGCAGGACTTCATAAACCGGGGCCAGAATTTTCCTCAAATTTCGTCAAATGCAAGTTTTGACGTAGGCCTACAAACAGATTTCAAGACAGCTTCATATGTGAGTACTTATTACATGGGCAAAATAACGTCCAGTGTGTGTAACGGAGGGAGTCAGACTCAGAGGGACAATCTCGCCAGGTTCGAAAAAACACAACAGCGTGGCGTAGTTTACAAGCCATGTACACAGGTCTATCAACATCCATACGAAATTATGTATGGCGGATCGATTTCGCTAGGTTCGAAAATACACAACAGCGTGGCGTTGTATACAACGCCACTAGCCCTGGTGGACTCCCTTTCCTCCCTACGTTACGGAGGGAGTCCTGGGTAAAAAGTGCTCAAAACCGAACGAAAACATTTCTGACCAATAATTTCAATATTTTTACCTTGTTGGAGAAGCTAATTTTTACGTCGTAGTATACTATGTGTCCTTATCTGTTGGGCTGATGGGTTCAGGAATTCCATATGCGATGCTGACCGACCTTAATCTGGAAAATAAACTCGAAAGCAACGTTAAACTTGTACGTGTTTGTAGACTCTTTTCATCAGTTTCTCACCGCCGAGTCTATTCTAGTCGTACATGATGTACGTCTGTGCAGCGTGTAGTCTGGTTCCCTAGACCGGGCAATTATTCTCGACGCTCATAACACGTCTGGTCCGGGGGCCAGACTATGCAGCATGAATATGCAGTGCGCACGCGCGATTTGCTTAGTAACCACCCTCATACGCACGCGCACTTACTTGAAGGCGCGGTCGCTAATCCAATGACCGAGCGTGTTTTCGCGCCAGTTACCAGAAACACGTTTCGGCTTTGGTCATTGGTTGAGCGTTTTCGCGACATCGGTTGACTGGAGTGACGTCACGGTTCCAACCAAAACTAAACAAATGAGGGCGCTAGCGTGCGTACGCGCTTTCGTACGCACGTACATTGTACATGACTCTGGGAATAAACTGATGAAAAGAGACAACAAACACGTACAAGTTTAACGCTGCTTTAGAGTTTATTTTCCTGATTAACGTCAGTCAGCATTACTCCTAGAACTATGGTGAGCGGAGCCTCATAGATCAAGAAGCCCGCAAAATTGCCTGCAGCACAAAACACCAATAAAGTACAAAAACGTCCATCAAAATGCAGCCATTTCACACAGAACCGCTGCACAGTTTGCCCCTATACTCCGTACTTTATCTCTTGACATACTCACGTATCTTGTGCGGAACTAGCATAGGTGGATTCTGTCGGTTTTTAGGCCAAAATGATGAAAAATATGCCCTTTCTGCACTGAGCCAACCTGACACTTGAAACGTGCACGCATATGATCGAGCGATGATTTTCGGTTCGCTCGGAGCGCGCCGCGGGGGGTACGGTACAAGCGAAATGATGTGCATGCGTACAAGTGCATGTACCGTACCCCCCGCGGCCCGCTCCGAGCGAACCGAAAATCATCGCTCGATCATAATGCGTGCACGTTTCAAGGGTCAGGTTGGCTCAATGCGGAAATGGCATATTTTTCATCATTTTGGCCTAAAAACCGACAGAATCCACCTATGCTAGTTCCGCACAAGATACGTGAGTATGTCAAGAGATAAAGTACAGAGTATAGGGGCAAACTGTGCAGCGGTTCTGTGTGAAATGGCTGCATTTTGATGGACGTTTTTGTACTTTATTAGTGTTTTGTGCTGCAGGCAATTTTGCGGGCTTCTTGATCTATGAGGCTTCGCTCACGCGGAGCCTCATACTAGTTCTAGGAGTAAGTCAGCATCGCATATATGGAATTCCTGGTAATCCTTACTTTTAGGACCCCGTTCCTATATAGGAAGGGAAAGACTCACCAAAACAGTTGACTAAATGACACTCAAAATTGACATTCTGATACTTCTTGGCACATCTGAACAATTGGCAATGACACCTTCTTGTCTTCTAAAGACTGCTTTAGCCTGCAAAAGTCACTTTGGTACTGGACAGACATCTGCAAAGGTCAGTAAAAAATAGAGGTGTCCTAAAAGTAAGGATTACCGAATTCCTGAACCCATCAGCCCAACAGATAGAGATAAGGACACATAGAGTATGTAGGCGTGAAATAAGCTTCTATAACCAGGTAAAACATAACAAAACTCTGGTATAAATGTTGGGTGGTTTCATGTAGAGAATTCTTGCCCTGGACGTTAGTCGTATTGCAATGAAGACTTCGTCCAACCTGGGCTAACAACGCCACGTACGTTCATGGGTCTAGGCGGCGCGCCTGTGACCAAACTTAACTCGTAAGCACTTTTAAAGAAGGGAATTTAACATCTCAGATACGAACAATACCCTTAGCCCCTACCTTATTAATACAACTCCGCCACCGAACCAGCCGACTTCCTGCTGAACCAATTTCTCTTCGTACAATTCCTGAAATGAATCTCTGCACTGAATACAAGGACAATTTGACTCTGGCGGCTGCCATCTTCCAACGCACAACGCGGTCTTACTCCCAAATTTCAACCCTTCTATATCGCTATCATCTGCAATGAGCACCAGACTACAACCCCGACAGCTGAGGGCGCCCTATAACATTCGCAGACTACCCGCTTTTTTATAAAGGGCGTTTTCCAAACCTCGGGTTTGGTTATTCTTTTAGTTGGGCTTCCACAAGATTTTAGGCCTCTGTATGGTGGCTCTGAAGAGACATCGAAAATCGTGAATATTGACATCTCACCCTCCTGAGGCTGGACAGAGAACACTCAACCAACCGGTTCTTTTCAGAACCACACTTCTTCCCAGAAGAGATGTCTTTCCCAGCTGGTGTTACCCGCAATTTAAATTCACGACTTGCCCCTAATCGTGAATATTGACGTAAATATTTACTGTAAATATTTACTGTCTCGCTCTCCGGTCGCAACCATTGACGTCAATATTCACGATTTGTAGCCAAAAAAGAAAGAAAGAGGAAATTCCAAATATTTTGTACATGTACAGTGTTTTTCAATTTTTAATGGCATAAGATGATAAGTGTGAGGTGAAAAACGATGAAATCAGCTGATCCAAGGAAAGTTGCATGCCTGTATACATTTTACCTTTTAGGGGAGTGGCCAGTAGCGTAACTAGGTTGGAAGTTAAATTTAACTTCTGAGGGGGCACCTGGGGTGCACCAATTTTTCAAGGGGGGGGGGGGGGGGTTCAACTGAAGGCAAGTGCTATACATTTTTGATTAAGTCAATATTTTAAATTGGGGGGGGGGGGGGGGGGGGGCACCCAGGTTGGGGGCGTGGACATGCAGTGTCCCCATAGAGCTGTATAATAAAGAACATTATAAAGCTCTATGAGTGTCCCAGAAGGGGAATAAATTTTGATCGTGTGGGGTGGGGTGTTAATGTAGAAACGTTCACTTCCAGAAGGTTAAGAGGCAACAAAACAAGAAAATATGCGCAGAAGACACCAGATATCAACAGAATGGGCTATTCTAGTATATTTTTATTAATTTCTTACTGAAGAAAAAGGCAGCGTAACCGTGTTAACACCTTTGTCTACAGCCACGTACATCTTGTAATAATAATTCAAATCTCACAGTCAATGGAAAAATGGGTTTTCGTTTGTTTCTGAATACTCCGTTAAATATCAATAGCGCTGTGCTGGTTTTTCTTTTTTTTTTTCTCATTTTTTTTTCTCATTTTTTTTTCTTCTTAATTTCCATTTACTCTTTTCAATTCTAATTGTAATATAATATAATACAAGATGTTTTTTCGACAGGTTGTTTGAACCCATCGCACAGACACTGAATGACACCAAAAAAAGACTGGAGTGTTGTTTGTTTCTTTTTTTTTACAACAATTGCCAGTTGTGCACAGGAAACCCATCCGGTATTAGGCCAAGTAAAAACAATAAACCAGTTTCTCGTGCCCCCAGCCTTTTTCCCCGGACGCCTCCTTTTTAAGTGTTTTTCTTTTTTTAATTCATACATTTGCACAATATTTTGCACATACATTGTCTTTTTTAATTTGTTTCCAACAAACTTGTAGCTTTGTAGAAAGGGTTATGGCTCCTTAGGACACAATTTTGAATTGACAAAATAGTCGAGAAAATTGAAGAATCCATCCGCTATCTTGGAAAATCTGCCATCTTGGGGGAAAAAAAGCAAAAAAATCCTTCATTTTTTAAACAAGGCCAGACAAGAAACTGCTTAATTTTTTTACTTGGCCATACATCACGAGGCGCAACAGTAACAATGCAGAATGCTCGTTCATTCATTAAGCAACAGTTGAAATGTTATCATGCTAGTTGAAAAGTTGAATTATCATCATAGCGACTTACGAAAAAGTCAACTTGGCTTTTTACACAATGCCCCCTTAATAACTTTTATACAAAACGGTGCAACTTTTATTAACACTAAGCTTATCATGTAACATTCGCTGCTGTTGGGCATACCATGCCCCCCCCCCCCCACATCACAAACATGTTATCGACAGTTACCCATTAACCTAGCAATCGATGGGGGCTAAAAAGTTTGACAATTGATCTGACATGTCATAAATATAAACAAATGTAAACAAAAATTGCATCACTTTAATTACAGGCTGAAGATTATAATTTGCTATGCACACTCTTGCCCCAAAGTTTCCAGTTGAGAGATGTGTTACACCCCAACTACAGCATCGTCCCAACTATAGTTAAGACTGTCTCAACCATAGTTGGGACTGTCCCAAGTACAGTTAGGACTAGTTAGGACTAGTTAGGACTGACCCAACTGTAGTTGGGACCACTGCTCTAATTGGGGCCTAACATCTGCAATGACATCAAATTTGTAACCTAGATCGATTTTACCACAGTGCATAAAAATCGACTAGTGTGTTACATCAAATTGTTTTGTTACATTACTCTAAAATATTACGCCCGTTTATTGTATACACAGATGTGTGTGCTGTTGCAATCCAATACTTGTTTTTTTTATCAAGAATGAGTCCAATACTCAATACCACGTGAACTGAAGAACTCTATGTGCTAACACCACATGACCACTTTTTCCAAAAAAAGAAAGATTTCAACTGTACACTGTGAGAGACTGACCTGTGCACAACTGAATTGTATTTAAAAAAGATGACCCAACTTTTTTTTTTTTTAATCTTAATTTTTTGTTTTATTTGACAAAAGCACTGCACATGTGCATAATTAGAAAGTCCACTCACACAAGTTGACTACAAGATTTAAGTTTTATTTGTTTAAATATTTATATATAAATTGTGTGGGCAGCTAGTTCTATCGTAGCTACTCAAGAACAAAAGAAAATTAAAAACACAAACCCACAGCTGCAGCAAAAGAGAAGTTCAACAACAACTGACACATAGTGTGAAGTTTTTTTAATCTCTTTTTGTTTCTTAAAAGAATTTTTTAAAACTTAATAAGTCTTGTTTTATTGCTTGTACCTATGATGTTCATGGTCATGGTTTGTATGCGTGTGTGTGCACATCGGTGTTTGGTGCAGAATAACCTAAACAAAATTTTTTTTAAAAACCCCAAAAAACCAAGGGATCATAAGAAATGTGACATAGAAACGAGAGCTCGAAATAAAGTGTTGAAAATGCACGGGTTGAGATGCCCAAGTACTCACAACATGCAAGAGCGATATGTGCCGAGTGCTACCGGGAAGGGGGGGGGGGGGGAATAAAGCAAGAAATAATGACTGCATTTGAATTACAGGGGAGGCACAGAGAAGCTACAGACAGAAAAACAGACAGACTGACAAAGAGAACATACAGAATCACATTACAGATGGCCAAGACAATACACATTAAGCTATTTTAAAGAAAAAGGAATGGGCAAACTGACGTGCACACAGACTAACAAAATGACAAGAAAACAACATTGAAGACAACTAAAAGATTTATGACCAGGCCAAACTCAAAACAAACCCAAACAACAAACAAACAAAAACAAGTAAACAAACAACTTCTGTAACCTAGTTGTAACAGGACATGGGATCAGTGTAGATAAGACTGGATATAGGCATGACAAATGAAAAAGCATTGAGTCATGTTTCTTCGATCAGGGAAATTTTGTTTGTTTTTCAGTTTAATATGCCTCATTTGGAAGGACGCTGGTGGACTAGTTCCCCGTGCCCTGCTGTGCCAAGCATATTCAAGTTACCCAAAGCTCCAGTCTTAACCCCTATGTCATCACATCTTGAGTGCGTTCGATTACTTCCCCCAGCTTACTCGCGCCTGCTCCTCATGTGATGACAGACATGCGCGCAGTGGAGCTAAATAAACGAACGGTTTCGGGTAAAGTTTCGTGCAAGAGCTGGAAAGTTGAACTTTGACACGACACTGAGGCTGCATCCGAATCAACTGTCTAGAGCTAGGTCTAGGTCCGCGCCCATTGAAAATACGCGGGGACGGGCTGACAATAGACGTAGCTCTAGAAGCACACAGCCTAAGGCACCTGCCGGACGTCACGTTGGCAGCCATGTTTATTGCATGGCCTTATGGGATACTTACCCAACTAACCGGCTCGGCGAGTCGGTCACTTGGGCCAGGCTTGAGTAATCATGAGAAGTCATGTGAGAGGTAAATCAAACGAGTAGGCGCGGGGGGAGTAATCGAACGCACTCAATGTGAAACACGTGGACAGGACACGTGGCCGGCCGTTCCATACACACAGCACAACAGTAAATAAAGTCAACAACACAGAGACCAACAAAGAAATACAAAGGTGGAGTTCGAAATTTGCGGCTGTGCAAGTTGTATACATATCAACTAGAGAGTGTATTAGAATTAACCTAACTCTTTTTTTAACACATTTCTAATTATTTTGACAAAACAAAAGAAATAATACTGGATATAAATCTGCGGAAATCTCATTACTTTTTTTGAACACAAATTATTTGCCATAGTTTGATTTTTTTTAAAGTCTAATTGGTCCCAGGGTCCATAAAAATAAAAAATAAAATCCCTGCAGTTGAGTTTACGTCTTTGAGAAGTCAGAAACGATCTTAGCCAGTTGAACAAGCACAATGACATTCTCTACCAAAAATGTTGACTCCTGCTGTTTTGTGTATCACATACATGTATGTTGAGTTATGCATGAGTGATACAGGCACATGGCATAAAGCGACACACACATGAAACGGCAGTAGGGTTGTAATTTCTGCCCAGTCCAAGTTCAAATCGTGAGCTTGAGCCCTACAGTTGCTAGACACAACCGATGCTTCTCAAAGACCGTATCTCAATTAGCGGATTCGCTGTACTTCCTACAACACTAATGACAAAACGGGAACTACGTACAACAGTTCACACATTCGTAACAGTGTTTAATAAAAACCGTGCCCAGTTTTATCCGACATATTTCCCCCGCTGGTGGCCAATCAGGTACATGGATCACAAGCACATCACAAGTCCAGTCGCAAGTTAATCGCAGGCCAGTTCACAAGTCTAGTCACAAGTTAACAGTAGACGAACCATTGCAAAGGAACGCCTTCGTAGCAGTTCACTGAATAACTTGTGAGTTGACTTGGGCCTGGATGACTTGTGATTGGCTGGTGATGGATTCACGATGACCAGTGATTATGACACCACAAGTTGCATTTCCGCCCTCAAAGGAAAATCTTTTGTTTCTTTGGCTCGAACCTGGTAAAAACAACCCTAGTGTTTGTGGTTCCAAAGGGTGTCCAGCAATTGATATTGTAAAACCCTCGAGTCACCAGGGAGTTATTCTCAAGCGAAATGCCATTCTGTATTAACTGCAATGTCTACTTTTAGGCAACAAAATGATAAAACTGGGCAAGATCTTCTAATATGGAATACAACTTCACTCAGGGTTTCTAGCAAAACAACTAAATGGTCACAATTACCTAAGTTGCCATATAAAATGTGCCGATGATGCTCAACGTGTTTGTTTGAATGAAATTTGTGTTGATTTTCATTCTCAAATTAAAGAAAGATTAAAGAAAAAAAAAAAAGGCCCACAACAGATCAGCTATGATTTTTTTTGTCTTTCCAGAGATTGAAAAACACTAGTTGGTGACTTTTAGTATATACAACAGGATGTTTCACCCTCACATATTTTTCGCCCTCACAAATAGGGGGGAAATTCTCTCTAGAATAATAAATACGAACAATCACAAGAAACAAGGGGGGTAATACGCTAACCGGAATTCTCCGCCAGAATGAACCACTGACTCTGCCCATAACCAAGACTGTTGCCAAACGTTCATACAAAAAAAGAAAGAAAAAAGGTTTGCTTCATAGTTGGAAATCACCTATTTGCTGTCGCATATTAGAGAGGTTTCGCAAACAAACGGATACGGTCGTTGCACCAAATAGTTCGTTCCTTTGTGTGGTCTAGTGACACTTGCTATCCGCTACGCGTTGGCACGTCATGGATATGTCGCGCGCTATGCGTAATGTGAAACGCATAGTGAACTGTCAATTTCCAGGCTGTTTTGTGCTAATTTATTTAGTTGCGTTTGATTTGCTTGAAAGAGCATAAATTACCGAACCTAAATGTTCCATTTGTCTGTGTTTCAAAGCAGGGTTAGCCGCAGGTACGAGGCTTTCATCAGAGGCTGCCATGTTGGATTACTGCTTTTATTAGTAACCGTTCCGTTGCCTAAACGAATGTGTATGCCTACACGATGCGAAACAACCCAATGGTCGATAGGTTATGGATAGCTAAACATATACGTACACGTATCCTTTCGGAGGCGAAATCTCTCTCATTTAATTTTCCTAACACAATTTAGAAATAAAATTAAACCCCCCAAAAAACGAGCACTGAGAGAGCTATACAGAAAGTAAAATAGAGAAAACCACCGGGTGAAAAAGTATGGTAAAAGATTTTCCCTCATCAATTTTTTTGTTTATGTTTGTTTTGTCTATCTTTGCACTGTATGTACAACTTGCATGTTAGTGTCAGGTTTTTTTGTTTTTGTTTTTAACAAATTCACACAATCACTATATAAATCACAACTATTCATTTAACATCATGATGGCGACCACGTACAGCGCGGTCCTTCTTTCCATTGACTTAAGAGACAGATTAAAAAAAAAAAAATTCCCAAACACACACACACAAAAAAGACAATGAATTTGCATGATGGCCTGACTATATAATATGTACATGTCCTAAATAAAAATAAATAAAAATTTGTAATTCATCTAAGTGGTTTTTTCTGTCAATCCTTTCCCGTTCACTACCACAATGGTATGATAATTACATTAATTAAAAGCCCTCCTTTATTTTTTTATATTTTTTTCAATTAAATTTTGAAAAAAAATTAACTTCTGACATTTTTTTGCCATTTAAAAATGCAGATTTGAAGCTGATGACTCTAACATGATTCTACAGTTGGTTTGTTCCGGGTTTTTTTGCGGCAAAAATCAAGGACAAATTTCATCGGTTTGCTGTATTGTGTTTCAAAAATCTCTCGCTGGACATGATTTGTTTCTCTCCAGATTTGGTCACACATACAGTAGTAAATATTTTCAGTAGACTGCGCAACATTACCATTTAGGTGGGGATGCCGTCTTCGCAAAAATATCCATGGCGTTATCAAATCTAGTGATGAGATTAGATCTCATGACGAGACGAGATCTAGTGATGAAATTAGTGTACGTTTATATTTCCAGTTTGGGCTCTGTGCCCAAATACCCGCTCAACGGTTACAAACGGAGAGTTGGGGGTGACTACAGGGATGGATGTTCGAATGCATATCCAATGACGCAGAGACGCTCATGCTAAGACGCTATGGCTCTGTGCACATTCAGAATAAAGGTAGTTGTGCTTAGTTTGTGCAATATGCGCGCGTTCCGGTACACGCCTGCGGTGTGACCCGTCCACTGGTCTCTCACGAGTGGTCCAAAAGCGCACCTACTCGCGCACACAGTCAATTCGCAGAGTGCTGAAATTTAGTGTGATTTCTGATGATCAGTTCATTTACTTCACACTTGTGTGACCAATTGGAAAAAACCAAATCCTTAACATGACCTAATCAACTGTGTAGAATCATACCACCTCCTGGGATTTTTTTACAATGATTTCATGTTAGCGCCCCCCCCCCCTTCCCGAACGAATGACTCTTCAAACTACATATTCTCTTTCCCATTCAATCTTATCATCTTCAAACCTATATAATATACACACGATCGTAAAAAGCAAACACGAAAAATTCCTGCTTACAGGAGAGTAGGATTGGGCGAATTTCTTTAAAAAAATAAAAGAAAACCCCCCAAAATTTCCCCCAATAAAGTATTCAAACACATCCATCAGTGACTCACTGGTGTCGGCAGAGAAGGAAAAATGAAAGAAAACTTATTGTCAGAACGATGCTCGGAAGTACTGCTTTTCGGTGCACTGCGAACCACCAACTAACAATTCTGCATGAACCTTTCAGACGTTCTTCCAGTAAGTTTTGAAAGGTACGTAGATCATTTGCTTTTTGTGCATTTTTTATTCAAACTTTAAGCACGCAATTGCTCTAAATCTTTAAAGTAGGGTGCATATCAACTAACCTGTTGAAGTTTGTAGATCAGTACTGCCAACGTTTGCATCTTGCAATCAGGGAGATTGTGTATAACAATCTGGGAGATATTTAGAATTACACTCAACATAATAGGGAAAAAGTTTCCATAATCAGGCAGATTTTCCAATATGTTCATCAGAACATGGAAAAATTGGTTTGTTTTCAGGGAACTTTCTGCAGCTTCAGGGAGAGTTGGCAGTGGCTACTGTACATTTCAATAAAATGTGTGCAAACTTCTTCGAGTCCCGTTACTGGATTCCGTTGCTATTTAAACACATGTCAAAAAGTGCAGCCGCGGGCACCATATTTTAAAACCACTTTCAATGTAGTTTTCTTTCAAACAAAACCATTTCAGGCGGAATAATTCCACAGGGTATTTGATACCAGTCCTATCCTCAATTTGAGCAAGATTTCCGTCTTTAAATCGGCAGGTACTTTTCCGGGTCATTGCAAATGAATTTTGGTAGGTACTTAAACTGGGATGTGTTATAGATGAAAATTTCAGTGACGTTAGATGACGTCATCATGTGACATGTGAGGTCACATTAAAATTGCAGATTTTAAAGGCCAATACCTACAGAACTACAGGTCTGATTGGGTTGAAACTTGGTACGTACCGAAACTTGGATGTGGTATAGATGAACATTTAGTGACGTCACGATGACGTCATCACGTGACATGTGACGTCACATTAAAATTGCATTTTTTTAAAGGCCAATATCTACAGAACTACAGGTCTGATTGGGTTGAAACTTGGTATGTACCTAGACCAGGATGTGATAAAGATGAAAATTCAAGTGACGTCATGCTGACGTCATCACGTGACATGTGACCTCATATTAAAGTGCATATTTTGACGGCCAATATCTTCAGAACTACATGTCTGATTATGTTGAACATTGGTGCGTACCTAGACCGTGATGTGTTATAGATGAAAAGTGATGTAACGTCATCATGATGTAATCACGTGACATGTGACGTCATAATTCAAAGCTCTATGAGAATGTAATCACATAGTATGCCACCATTTATTTTAAACAGAACTACACATCCTTCCTTGATGGAACTTATACTTGAAACTGTCACGTCACAAAAAGTTACCGAAACAGCCCTGTGTTTGTCCACAAACTAAGTCTAGTTTTTTTTTTGTTTTTTTTCAAGCTTGGATTGTACAGACAAGGTGGGTACTCTTGCTTTTTTGTGTCTGTATACACCTTGGTGTCCTCCATCATATACCATGGTGCCCTCCATCATTTTGAGTCCAGCTGCCCACGAAAATTTGAAAAAACAAAAATTGACGCGAATGATCGAAATCGATGCGTGCGCTGACCAGAGAGACCGACAATTTGGTTTTTTTGGCCTTAGCTCCAAATGTGGCCGTAAAAAGGCTGTGGTTATTGTGCCAAGAGTTTACAGCGTGCATTCTAATACTTGGGGAGGATCTACTGCCGAGTTTGTAAAGCGTTTTGAAAGTTTTGACTGTCGACTGTAAACTATTGCTACTTTATGTTTTTTTTAAGTCTGACAGATTTTATTTCTGGTTTTTCTTTCATTTTTCATTCTCGCAGAGTCACTGTTATTTTCTTTGTCTTTAAAATCTATTTTAGTTGTTTTTTCCCCCCTTTTTCATCAAGCTTGAAGTAAACTTAAGAATTTTATTTTAGGATATGTACAGTCATGCATGCAACAAATAAATACGAGCCGTGGCGTCAATCACTTCACGGTTTCCATGACAACGCCACTCTCGCTCGTATTCATCTTCGTAATTTAATTTAAACTGTAAAATTACATTGCAACAATTTTCATTAAATCTTTTTTTTTGTCGTGTTTCATTTAAATATTATCAATGTTCACAATTTTTTTTTTTTTGAAGTTTTTTTTTTTTGTAATTTATTGTATAACTCTGTGTAAAACCACTCTGGGTTCGGTGGCTGGGTTCTGAGTATAAAGCTCGCATACTTCGTGGTGGTTGTTGTGGTGGTTGTGGTGGTGGAACTTTCCGTGGCAAAATTTTACTTCACAATTCAAAAAAAAAGAAGAAGACCAAAAACCTCAAAAATTTGAATAATGTGAGCAGAACGGCCATACACTCAGCTGACTCACCAAACCCTGAACAGTGAAACCTACAAACCAATCAACCCATTTCCTCTGATTTTGACCAAGTCTTCTCGCTTTTTGTTCTATCCCCTTGTTCTTCTGTTCTTCCCCCGGCTGCGATGCAACCCGCAAGAGGTCAACAGTCAGGGGTCGTCGCTGTAGCCGCTAAGAGGACTCTGGGTGAAAATTGAGAAGAAAGGCTTTGGAGGACTGGGGTGGGGGAGGGTGGGGGTGAAGGGGAGATTGGGGTCAATCTGGGAGGGCTGTTGTCACAGCAACTCGTATTGTCTGAGGTGCATCCGTTGGATTATATCCCGGCAGTCGTTGAAGACCCGTCTGATGTTTTCCGTATCCACCGCGCAGGTGAAGTGGGGGTAGCAGTAATGCCTGCCGTCGCCGCTAGCTGTGCTGATACGCTGAAAAGAGTTTTTAAGAAAGGGGGAAAAAGATGATTTCAAAGTTTAACAGAGAAATTGACTGGACTGGGGTTTGAACCTGCGACCTCTTGATTACCGTTCTGGCGCTCAACCAACTGAGCTATTCAAAGTCAATATCTTTGTTTCCGGATAAGTGCGCTATAGAAGTCTACATCACTATTATTGTTATTGTTCGAGGGACCCTAGTCAGAACTCATCAGCCAGTATATGCCATGTAGCTGTGGATCACGGCATAAGTCAATGTGATAGCAACATTAGCAATGCTGCAAACCTGGGAAGTAGCAAACGGAGATCACTCAGAGAAGATACGGCCTTTTATGATAAAGTGAAAAGAAACCTGTTTTTTCCCCAAGTGACTGGAAGTATAATGAATGAAACAGACAATCTAAATTTATTAGACAATAAGGTTTAGGGGTGGAGTGCGGCCTAGTGGTTAGGGTTTACGACTTGTGATCAGAGGGTCTGCGGTAAAATTTCAGCTGCTGGCCATATGTTGCATCCTTGGGCAAGCCACTTTACCCCCACTTGCCTCTCTCCACCCAGGAGTGTAAATGGGTACCGGCATTAGCTGGGGAGTAACCTGTGATGGACTGGAATCCTGTCCAGGGGGGGCATAGAAAAATTCTCAGTCATTTCATGCCACTGAAACCACAGATAAACACTGGCCAGCGACAGACTTTGCTTTTTTACAAGGTGGATATATGTTAGTTTTGGATCTATGGTATGGGGAAGGGGAGGTATGGAGTACCGAAGTGTGACGTCATTTAGAACCAGAAAGTATAGTGCAAACGAATGGAGTACGCGTGCGTGCTGGTTCACGGGTTGAATCACGCGCTAATGTCTTTCACACACATTTTGTGCGCGTGACGTATTCACTTCGGTACTCCATGAGTTGTGAGACATGAGGAGTTGCGAGAATTTGATGAAACTGTCGAACCTTTTACAAAATGGTTGAGCTGTCTCAACAGTCCAGGGTGTATCTCGAAAAAAGTAAGCACGAGGTGCCGGGGGGGGGGGGGGGGGATAACAAGATTTCTCTACATTGTTATGCAGGATTTCAGAAGTCAGTAGTGACAACAGATCTACAAATTAGCTCCGCCTATAACATTTCGAACAATCACATCCGTGAGTAATGTAAGACGTGCATGTACAACAGTCCAATATCCATGCACATGTGTGTACAACACGCAGAGCTGCAAATAGAGCGCGGTACTGAAGATGTGCATGTGTTAAACTGCCTGCACTTGTGCGTGGGCCTACACGATATGAAATAGCAGAGAGGTGGCTAACAGTTACGGATAGCTAAATGTATGCCAACACGCATCCCTTCAGATGTGAAACATCTCCATCGCTCCGTTTTCCAAAAATTGTATACTTACAAGGAATTCGTCCCGAATGAAGAATTTGGCCTTCACTACACACTCGTCCTCGCCAGGTTCAATTTGTGCTGGAGATAATAAAAGACATCAGATTTGACAATTAAAATAAACATACCACTATGTGGCAGAAGACATTTTAGAAGTTTAAAGATTCAGAAAAAACAAAAAAAACATTTCAATTACATCACAGACCAAAAATACCACCTTGAAGAGGAGATCACTTTTTTTTCAATTCTGGAGAGACACAATGAGGTTGGAAATTTTTCCGGAGATCGGATTTGAAAGTCAGAAGAGTACACAACAATACTGATTGCTATTTCATGTGAACATGCAGGCAAAGCACAAAGTGCAACGACTTATAAGTATGATGTTTTTTTGGCCCGTACTTGCCGTTGAGAGACCCTCATGCATGTGAGTGCATTGCATTATGAAACATAGTGAGTGAGTGAACATGGACAAAAACTATACCTAACCTTTATGTGCGCCTACATGTGTTTATTTGTCATCGTTTTAGTCGTGCTGGTAATTCTTTATAGACTCCATGCACAGGTACCCCCTCAACGGTTACAAAGAGAGAGTTGGGGGAGACCACATGGGAGGGACATTCAAACACATTCCCAGCGGCATCTGGCGTTCACGCAACTGCACCTCTGTGAAGCGTATCTTTGGAATAAAAACATTTTTCGTGCGTACTTTGCGTTATACGCGCGCGAACCGGTACTCGCACGCGCTGTGTGCCTCAACTGGAGCTCTCGAAAGTGGTCAAAAGACGTCAGCTACTGTTGACGCACAGAGTCCATTCTGATCATCTTCTTTATTCAAATTAGTCCTATTGTCTCTCTACAAACAATTTTTTTCTGAGAAACCAAAGTTTATACAATCTGAAAATGTATGGTTTTCTTCAAAAACCCCAAAGTAGGAAAATTTGCACGGCTACATTGTAATCTAGTTTTTAGGAAGTTATAGACTTCTTTTTCGACCAAACAATATTTTACTTTATCATAGAAGTCTGCAAAAAAAAAAATTGTCTAGTGCATGCTTTCCAGGAACCAAAACGACAACTTCCTGGCGACCACTTCATTGTGTAAAAATCACTCACAAAGAAACCTCAACGGCCATCTTTATTTTTTTCCTCGCGCAATGGGAAGAACAGAGAAATCAGAACTATGACAAAGTGAAAACAACATAAGGAGTGTTTCATCTTGATAAAGCATGCATTTATGACGTGACAGCAAAAAAAAAAAAATGATTTACCCGGGTTTACTGTGTTTTATTCCCAAAATGAAGCCAAATACAATGTCAAAAGAAGAAAAACAAAAGCAAAGATGTATGTCAGTAAACGAGTAGCTTATCATGAGCCAGCAGGGAATGGTAAGCATACTTTTCTCTGAAACTTTTGCACCCACTATGTAAAGCTTAAAGGTAATAAACAACATTTGCTTCTGCTGTCATTTTCAGAAATGGACGGATTTGGGGATTAGTATTTTATAGCAAATATTGTTACACTGACCTGTTTAAGGTTTTGTGTTCATAGATGCTGGAAAAACCAAGGGGAAAAAAATGCTGTTTTTATAGTCTGGTTCCCTGACCCTACTTCCGACGAAACGGAGCAGCAATTTATAGACGTTGGAAATTGTCAGGTCAGGGAACCAGACTAGCTCTTCACAGATGTGTAACAGATTGCAAGCGAAACGTGGAGTAACTAAATTTGGTAAATTGGGGGCAGTATTGGTCGGTCGACCATCGTTGGAAATTGTTACAAAAATTCCAATAAAAAAAAAAACCCCAAAAACCCGGCACACCAGGTGCCAGAATTTCACAGGATGCTTGAGACTACTATTTACTTACAATCAAGTACATGTAAGGTGTTTCATAATATTTTGGTAGTTTTGTTTTTTGATGTTTGCAAATGTTGTATATTACCTTTAACTCTAACCCTCCTCATTCCTCCAAACTCAACCACAGGCCAATTTCATGGCGCTGCCAAGCACAAACATTTGCTTAGCACAAAAAAGTCTGGCTTACAAAAGCAGGTTACCAGCCAAAACTCCATGTGATGCATTTTGCTCCTGATTAGTATTCAGCTGTTGTTTACTTAGCATGAAAATCACATGGCGTTTTGGCTGATAACCTGCAGTTATAAGCCAGACTTTTTTGTGCTAAGCAAATTTTTGTGCTTGGCAGCGCCGTGAAATTGGGCCCAGGTGCTTTTGGAGGATTTTGGAGGATTCAGGCTGGATGCCATTATAAGTGCCTGTAGATTTTGGAGGGTGCATTGTGTCAAGGTCTTAAGCCGTACCTTGTGGTTTCACATTTTTAAGCTTAGCCATGTATAAACGTAGGTCAAGATTATATTGGATATCGTCCACACTGCTTCTAGATACCATCGACACTCCCTCAATGCATTAAAAGTAATTGTTTTTGAGGATTTGAAGGTTTGAGGCTGTATCCATGGAGACCATGGAGGCAGGGGCGGTGGGTGGTGGGGGGGGGGGAACTAACATCCTTAGCAACATTTTGCCATATATTTTTTTCAAATAAAATAAAAGCATCAGCACTTAAATAGTGCTAATAGTAGTATTACCCTTATGCACTTTTAACCAATTTTTTCTGAACAAAAACCAAATTGAATATTGTCCCTTTTGAATAGAGCCTCCGTTACTGATGGTGTCCGTAACACGCCCCCCCCCCTTCTAAACCCCTTTGATTTCGCAGCATCTTGATAACAAGAAAAAAATCCTCGCTACCTTCTAGCAATGAGTGGTCTTACGGCAAATTTGTTGTCCCTATCCCCATTGATATTGGTCTGGGGGTCGCCCATGATTTGACTGAAGTGGGACCAGGCTCGCGCTCAGGTGGTACGCACGCACTAACTGCTCCTTCTTCCAATAGGGTTAGCCAAATGCGCACGTGCCTAAACTTTGAGAATGTATGCCACAGGTACACGAGCATGGTTCCACCTAAATAAAAAAATGGCTTTTAATTTTGTTCACAAGTATTTCGGTGACAGAACAGACTATCACCAAAATACTTGATTTTCAAGTTGATGCATTAATGTGGACACTCCAAAAGATGCGAAATGAAGAAAAGGCTACTTACCCCCCCCCCCCCCCAAATAACTTTTGATGATTTTTATCTTACCATCTGGGGGTATGGTGTAATGCTCAAATTCGCTGAAGTAGTCTTCGATCTTCGAGCGGCCGGCTTTGACTTTCTCTGCCAGAAGGTCCTGCTTGTTGAGAAACAAGATGACGGAGATTGTCCGCAGCCACCTGGGAGTGGGGAACAGGGTGAAAGAGACGGAGACAAAAAGGGTGGGGGAGGACAGGGAGGGAGAAAAGTTGAAAGAAAAACACATGTTCATTAATGTTAGAAGAATCAATTTCAGCATGAACTACCTATTTTATCATTTTGCACAATTGTGTGGAGTCACTTGGGTCAAGTCTGAGTCTCGAGTCATTTGGTTCAAGTCCGAGTCCATGTGTCGCATTTGTATGTAATAAAAGTGCTTGGACAAACATACATTTACATGTAAGCAGTATGTAAGTGATGCACTGTCACAGGCAATAGGGAGGGGAACATTTAGCAACACGACCCGGAGAGCGGTGCGGTACGACCGCCTGATTACTAGTGCAGACGTCTTACCACTCAACCACCGAGCTTGCTGGTTTGGGGTTCAAATCAGATTGGTATTCCAAACAAATTTAAAAAAACATGCTTGAAGTTATTCTTCATAATGCTTGAATGGCAAATTACAAAGTACCAAGGTACAGGGACAGGAAATTATGTTACACTTTGGACCCTTAGTTTACAGAATGATTGTTTTGAGGAAAAATCCCCAATATAGTTATTTATAGGTATTGTTTTAGAAGCCTGCTCTCGTAAAAGTTAAAGGTTTCGCAGTTAAGTTGTTTCTGAGTATACAGCCACTTCAATACCCATTTCCTGTACGTAAAACTACCAAATGATGGATATGATGTACTTCACATATGACATTCGATCCACTTATAGGTAGAGTAGATAATTTATTATTTGTGCCTTTGTTTCGTTGAAGCAACAAAAGTGCTCAAAATCTAAACCTGATGACGTTTTAGCTCTGTGAATGCTGTATATTCCAAGAAAACAAGTTGCCGGGTCATATTTTGAATTGCACCTGAAATCAGCATCCGGAACACGTTCTCATTCAGCCGACTGCGGCTAGGCAATTTCACGCACTGAACCGACGAACAATAGCAACCGCGCGCACCCATTCACTGATTGTACGCATTAATGAATTCCCCCAATAACAAACCAAATACAAACAGAAATTTCCAAAAATATGTCATTTGACTCATCTTTGGATATGACCTTCTGTTATTTCTTTCTTCAAAATGACAGCATGCCAGAAGGAATCATTTCACAGGGAGTTTAAAGCCATTACTATCTTCAAACCAAGTAAGCTTTTTTAACAATAATTTGGTCAGTTACTTTTTTGATAACTGCAAATCATCTACTCTACCTTTAAATATTTGGTTAACATCATTGCAAAATTGCTTTGCGGGGACAAAAGTCGAGCTTGGCATGCAAAACAACGTGGAGTACTTGACCAAATTTCCCAACCAAATGAGAACCAAACCAGCTCAGAGGAAACGATCCACCACAACAGCGGCACATACGGAAATATTTAACAGTGAATCGTACGGTGAATGGAATACATATTATACTTTCTTTTTGGTAAAAAAAACCCAAACTGACTGTAATCTCGTATAAGGTACTTTTGAGAGTGATATGTGTCTGAAGACTTACAACATTGAATCTTATGGGTTCACTTTATGTCTTCCTTTCTTCACTTTTCCAAATCGCAAGTCTACACCACGACTGTAACCCTTCTTCCATAACTTCTTAAAATAAAAAAGCCACATCAGAAGGAAGAGGCAAACCCTCCGTGGGTTCAAAGACTTAACTGGACAATCTCAAGAAACCGACACTGAGGAACTCTGTCTAGAAGAAAATTCAAGCACACTGTATCTCATGGGTTCACTTTATGTCTTTCTTTCTTCACTTTTCCAAATCGCAAGTCTACATCACGACTGTAACCCTTCTTCCATAACTTCTTAAAATAAAAAAGCCACATCAGAAGGAAGAAGCAAACCCTCCGTCGGTTCAAAGACTTAACTGGACAATCTCAAGAAACCGACACTGAGGAACTCTGTCTAGAAGAATTTTCAAGCACACTGTTATCTTGTTGGTTTACTTTATGTCTTCCTTTCTTCACTTCTACAAATCGCAGGCCTACACCGCACCGCGACTGTAACTCTTCTTCCATAACTTCTTGAAATAAAAAGCCACATCAGAACGAGAGGAGAAATCCTCCGCTGGTTCAAAGACTTAACTGGAAAATCTCAAGAAACAGACATTGAGGAGTTCTGACTAGAAGAAAAATTCAAGCACAATGTACGTCGACAACTTGGAAAGGGTTCCCGCAGAAATCGTCAAATAAAATTCCATGATTTTTCCATGACAAAATTAGGGCTTTCCAAGACCAATTCCTATGCTGTTTTTTGCATCGTAGGAGCCTATTTACAATACACTGGCCGGTCATCATGCTGACAATAAGTGTGCATTAATACCAAGACGACTTCCCCTCATAGCCATCTGATTCTCCCAGCTTTTCATGTTACCAAACACTAACATGTACAAGGGGAGTCAGGTTGGCGTAGCAGTACTTTCCTCGCCTTCCACCGCTGTGACCCGGGTGGATTGGGTTTTTCCCAGAATATTCTTCTGGAGTTTTCCTCCCACCACTAAAACTGTAACTTCTTCTCATTGTCTTCTCTCTACATGTTTCTTCAGGTTTGTGAGCTACAGTGCCTAGGGCGCTTTTTAGGAATCCTTGGTTTCATTCCCGGAAAAATGAATAAATAAAGAAGGCATCCTGTCACCGTCTTCCGAGCATTTCATGGTACAACAAAGCTCTGAACACCTCTATATCTATAGCAATTGCATATCCTGAATAATGTAACTAGGACTGCGAAAGCCAGATAACCAAATATAAGACGTCATCATGTAGGTGTTGTGCATGAGCAGGATTCCATGACTTTTCCAAAACTTTTTTCTTGGACTGTCAACTTTCCATGATTCCTATAAAAAAAACCCCACAATTCCATGACTTTCCATGAAAGCTTTCACTTACAGGGATTTTTTTCCTGATGACTGTGGGAACCCTGCTTGGAAGTCCTGCTAGCCTATCCGTTTATTTTTTTAGTCTGCGTCTCTGTTCCCCGTGAGCAACTTCAATTAAGAACAAGCTGAAACTTTGCCAAGACCTCCCCGGGAGTCACAATGCCTACCATACATCACACGACCAGGGACCACCTCAGCTTTCTTTTTAAAGTTTTTTTCCATATGCCCTTTTCTTTTTAAGACAATAATTTATTGACATTTTGCCAAGACTTTTTCTAAAACGAAAAACAAGGCAACCATGAAGACCTTGCAAGCACTTGTGGAGGAGTATTGAGAGCACATAAAATTTTCATCCCTAGAAAAAGACAGGGCGAAAACAAACAAATTGAATGCGTGACATCCCTGAGCTGTGCGTGTTTTGGAAAAAGGAGACACCCTTTCCGGAGTTGGCCCAAAGCCCGGTCTGTAGACTTTGCGAAAAAAAAAAAAGATCGTTTGTGCGTTGGCCTCCACAGTGGTCTTAGAAACGGTACCAGGAACATCCTGGTCCCAATTTTTCCCTCATGACTCATCCAAACCTGCTCTTAATCTTTCCAATGTCATCCAATCCCCGTCCTAGTCCTGACAAACCTTTTAACAAGGACACAGAAAAGGGTGGAACAAAAAACCCCAGAAAGTACAGTGACCTAAACCCAATCTGGCTGTACTTTTTTTGGCTCTGTCCGAGAAGAAAATGAAAGAAGGACAGCAATAACGAATCTGCAGACAGCTGATTGTAGGCTTATTATGGACCAAATACAACCAACAGTAACCGGTATACACTGGAGTGAACCAGCGTGGACTGGCTGCAACTACTTTTGATGCAGCTTGTGACAGCTGCGTTGGGTTGCCTTTTCAGGGCCCATCACCATTCTCTGCAACGCACTGAATTCCATGCTAACAGTCACCATTCTCTGCCGACAGCATCAGCCCCCCCCCCCCAAACAAAATCTGCGCTAACCCTGTAAGCACAGAGTCCTTGAATATGGGATGTATGCATGGGCATATGCCAACATTCCTCGCTTACCTGCAAATATGCTAACCATAGGCACGGAACTTCCTGCTACAGTAAGCAGGAATTTTCACTGATGGAAGACAGAGCCATGAAACTGGGCACTGGCTTGACAGTGAACACATTTACCAGTAAAAAAAAGTAGTTCAGTGGCACCCAAGCCTCTACCAGGGAACTATGTGCACTCATGTGCTGTCAACGTTTCAAAACTGGAATTCAACATTTTGAGTCAAGACCGATGCATAATTGTATGCGAACGTGAATGCAAAAGCGAATTTCAGTCAGGAAACATTCATTGCAAGTTTTGCAACGAATGCTGGCCCTTGGCATATGTTAAGGCGCATCCTGAACTAATATTTAAGAAACACATAAATGTAGAGCTTACTTGCTCTGACCATTCTTTTTATAGCTCCATGCTTTGACTAAATATATTTATTCTGAAAGATGAGCAGACTGAGAATAGATTACGATCCATTATTCAGTGTGGCTAACACCAGAGACACCAGCTTCCTAAACTATCTTCTTTTTTTTCATTTCCTCATTTGACTTAATTGGTAGAAGATGAATTTTCATTTGCGGGGGGCCTTTGGCCTAGCTGCGAAAACTATTTTCGGCAACGACCGGAAAGTTACTCCCAGCCCGGTGGTATTTTTAGACACTGTTTTGAAAAACAGAATTGTGAGTGATATACTGATGGGCAAGGCATTCTGGAAATGACTTTCTGTAAATAGTACGATGGACAGGGTATTTATAGACTGGAAATATGCAAAAAGTCCTTCAGAATGACTAACGACCTGTCAGGGAACTGTTCTTAGACAGTGCGTACGAGGTTCTAAGGCCTGAACCCTTATAGAGAGGTTTCGCTAGTGAACAGATTCGGGGTAGCGTGCTGGATAGATCATCTGCTGGATTGGTCTTGTGACGTAATATGCAATTCGCTATCCGCTGCATATATACATGTACTTAATATGGATACATCACTCGCCACACGCTGTACCTTGTAAATTTTGTTAAAGTTTGTTCTGTGTTACATGTAAGAGAGGATGAATTTGCCGAACGTATATGTGCCATCTGTCCATGTTTCACAGCAGTGTTACTCGCAGATACAAGGCTTTAATTCAAAAGGCTGCCAATTTTGGATTACTGGGTTTTTGTTTTTGGTAACAGTTACAACTAAAGCGTATAGGTACGGTACGTGCACACGATGCGAAACAGTGGAATAGTCGATCATGGTTACAGATAACTAAACATATACGTACACGTATCAGTTCAGATGCGAAACCCTTCTAATCTTTTAATAGCGCCTTTTGCTCAATACTCAGAAAACAAGCATGAGGGAAAGCCTGACAAGCTTGCTTGGTTGGTAGGGGCGTGACTGGGGTCCTCAAATTGGCAAGAGAGAGGGGTGGGGTACTTGAGGGGCCTAATTTTCTGAGGGGGAACCCCTTTGCAGGGTTCGCACATAAATCTTGAAATGAAATTCTTGGACTTTTCCAGGACTTTTCCAGGACAAAATGAAGGCTTTCCGTGACCAATTCCTACGCTGTTTTAGGATCTTAGGAGCCTGTTGTCCTGGAGGCAAGGGACGCCACTCTCTTTCAGCCTTCTAGTTTGACACAAGACCGCTGAGCACCACAAAGGCATCACAATGGTGCACTGAACAAGCAACAAGTACAGAGCATACATGCATATAAAGAGGAAGCACAGTAAAACTGGAATGCAAACTGGACTGCCACAGGCAAATATCAGGCATCATCACGTACAGGTTGTGCAGGAATCCATGACTTTTTCCATGACTGTTTTTCTTGCAATATCGACTTCCCATTGACTCCTTGTGAAATATCAAAATTCAATGACTTTTCCATGATAGCTTTAAATGCCTGGATTTTCCAGGAGTATTCTATGACTGCAAGAACCCTGATTTAAAAACAAAAAACTACAAGAGATACCAACCTGTTGTTCCAGATACTTTTGAAGAGCTCCAGAGATTCTCGGAGCCGGTTTTGGCTCGGGTCTTCCCTCAGTACCAAATTGTAACTACTGCACGCGACCACAAAGATGATGGCTGTCACATCTGCGATGAAAGGCGAGTCAGACAAAGAGAAAAACAGAGTGAGAGAGGGTGTGACAGACAGGGAGGGGGGGGGGGAGGGGCACGAATCAGCTGTACAAATTGTCCGTGTTCTTAAGTTGTCATCCTGTAAATATGGGGTCCGAGTTTGTTTGTGTCCCTGTTACATAATAATAATAATAATAACAGGTTCTTATTAGCTTTACATTATTATTACCCCTGATCATTGGGCCAATTAAACATTCCAAATACCATCTCAGTTCCCTGGGGAGTATACAGCTCGATGCAGCCTGTAGGTGCAAGGAAGCTAATTCGATCACAATAACCATCTCTGCCCTCACAGGTACCCATCTACTCCTGGGTGGAGAGAAGCAATGAGTGACAAAGTGCGTTGCCCAAGGGCACACGCACCATGACCCCAGGCTGGACTCAAACCCACAACCTGCAGTTTTACCCACAGACCACGAATCCAGTGCCCTTAACCACGAGGCCACAGCACTCAAAAATATAAGATATAAGATTTTTTTTCTGCAAATTCAAGACATATTCTTTAATACCTTCTATCTCCAAAAGTGATTACACGTATAGAAAGCAAAGTACATGTACCTGCCAAAAAAATACAAATTTGTTTGAAGACAATCTTAATGATACTTGCATGGCACATTTTATAGGTCAGGTTATTCAGGGACACAAAAAGAGTTCACACTTTTGAACCACAAATGATTGGAATGACTCAAGTACACCCACTCCCCCAATCAATAGGTGACAATGTCAAATGTTTCTGGGTCATTCTATACATTAAGGGTCCAAAGTGTAACATTTTGTTCCCGTCCCTGTTACCTTCATATGTAATTTGTCATACAACTATCATTAAGAATGACTTCAAATGAGTTTCGTTATCTGTTGGACAGGTACATGTAGTGGGTTATTGATAATCGCTCTTGGAGGGCGACTGCATTAAGGAGTGCATCCGGAATGATCAAAACATGGATGTCAGACGTAACAAAGCGTACCCCAAATTTATAGAGTGACACTTCTGTCAATGGCAGGACATTTCGCAATCGCGCAATGATAATAGAAAGCTAACCCTGCCGCATCCTCCCAAATTCCACCGGGTTTTGAAGATTTTTCCAGAATTAACCCAAACCTTCCCAAACCCTCTAATTTCCTCTTTGCATAACTGAAGGATTTTGAAGGAATTGAGGTGAGCAGGCCCGATTGGACACTGGATGAAATTGGAGGATTACGACAATGGCTTGTTTTGCAATGGAGGATAACAATGGAGGATCTCAATAAGTTACACAGGCTAATGAAATCCTAAGAGCATGGAAATCCGATTTACGTGATAACGTGCCAGCAAACCAAGTTGAGGATTTCGAAAGATCCAGGCAGAGGCCCCCAGCGACAAAAAGTGGATTTTTTTGTAAACTCTTTGCCATTGGAGGATATTGGAGGATTCAGGCTGCTTCTGGGCAAGAGAGCTAAGGGGGTTAGGGCAAAGGAAGGAAGAGCCTGACCACTCTAACTTAACATGGGGCTGGATGCCCCCTGAACATTTGGGAGCAAAGACAGTGTCGTTGGTGTTCTTGGAAAGGCTCATGAAAGGTTCCTTGCAAAAAATCCTGGGGTTAATGCAACTTAAGGATATTTCAGCAGCCTCGACTCCATGGGCTGCGTGCGCGCATTCCTTCGCTAACCCCCGTCGTGTAAAATTTGAAAATGATGCTGATTGACTATTCAGAGCATACTGCATGCGTATTTCGAAGGCTGTACATCCTATATGCACTCGCGTTATCTGTATGAACGTCACGTCACGTCACGTCCAAACAATTCTTCAATACTGTGCGATACCTGTACGATATGGAGCCCAGAAGCCTTGTTTTTCACCAAAATAACTTCTATCTTGTGTTGTAAAAGGGACGGCAAAGGTACGCACATTTAATATAATCTTTGCTCTATAACGGGACGTCAAAATCTCATCTTTGAAAGGATTGATTCTCAAAAAAAAAAAAAAAAAAAAAAAATCAAACTTGAAAGCACTGCATCATCAACTTAAGTCCTAACTTAAATCTCTCAAATAGTGGGAGACATAATGAGGCCAAAAAAAAAATTACTTCTGCTTCCGATAACATTCCTTTCGAAAATAGGGTCGGTTTGTCGGAAATTATTTTTTTTGCCAATTTTTTTTATGCAGATTTAATGGGGTATTCAATTTTATACAACACCTGAATAAATCCCAGTCATCTGATTGGTGGATCGTTGATCACGTCATTGAATTATTCGTCCCAATGCGCGGCGCGCAGCGCACAGTGCAATGGAAGTTCTATTGCACGGTGAATAGAACTTCCATTGCCGACAGACCTCGTTTTTACGGTCGAAAATTTCGGGAAACACGCTGCATGTATCACTCCAAATACGAGTAGTGCGATCTCAAAATTAACTCTTGAACATGGAAATTACATACACAGACAAGCTGGATCAATTCTGTGAATTAACTTGCAAAAATGTTCTTTCTCCATCGGTGTTTTCGAATACGACCATTTGACAGTGCACCGGCATGCAATGCATAGCCATGCTAGCGCTATCGATCGCATAGCCATGCACTAGACTAGTTACTGCATTTTCATCATGTCTTCTAAATGGCCCCTGCGCAGCGCGGCGGGAACCAGTCATCGCTGCGTTGAGCTAGGTTTACACACGTGATTATAGTCACCGTGACATGGAATTGCGAAGTAGTTATATCGCGAAGTGAATTTGTAAAAATAACGGAGGTTTCTTTTGAAAAAAATGGGGAATGCAAGTAAGAAAACAAATAAATACAAGCATTTTTTTGATGCAAAAGGGTTGCTGAGAGGTATTTTATGAAGGCAGAAAAGACAACAAGATTATATTTTTATTTATTCAATCATTATTATTTTTTTCTTTTTTGGAATTGCCGATAAAAAATTTATGGTCGCAGCCTAAAAATAGGGTCGGTTGGGTAACCGGAAGCAGAAGTATTTTTTTGGGCACAATACCAGGGGTTAAGATCGTGCAAGGCATGGTGGGAACCAACATGGCGCGGCATGATCGTACACGTGGGAAAGAGGTCGACATCTGAGTTACTTAAATATGGCTTGCAATGGACAGATCTATTATGCCCCGCCCACTGACGCCTTGCCCAATCACAACCTGCGTGGACGTAAGTCTGACATGCGCGCACGCGCAAGTACGTGCGACAAGCTCGGCTGGATCATGCAGTGATGCATTGGAGAGGTGCAGGCATTGTTGACCAGTGGGCGGGGCCTAATGGATCAATCCATTACACAAGCACCGATGGACGAGGCAAATACCACCCCACCCCATAGACATGGGTGTTACTGCAGGTCATGGCCGAGTATTTGGGACGCGGCTTATTCTATACTTAGTCCTCTGTGCAGTGCATTCATTATTTTGTATTGTTGTCTTTACCGTTGAAACACTGGATCCACTTTCTCCTTTCGTCTCTCTGCCCTCCTACATCGAACATGCTGCAAAGAAAAGACAATCAAAAATCATACGCAGTCAATATCTATTCCAACTGTGATAGGCCTGAGACATGAAGGTGTCACGCTTCCTTTACATGTGTGCTTTCTCTATGGAAACCAGGTGGGGACAAAAACCACCGAGCTCCAATTAAAGCCGCCCTCAGGTCTCCCTTGAGACGACACAGAAGAGTGGGCAACTGACTTTACAGGATCTAGCTACGCCTGAGCTACGACCTTCGGGATCATACCAGTCGCCCAATTTATTATTTTTTTGCGACCTGAGTGTAACTGTGTTGATATTAAGACAATTGGCATTAGTCGGCGCAAAAAAAAATCAACAGTCACAAAAGGAGAACAATTTCATGTTTCCGACGGGCGCGAATCAATCGCAGTTGACCTGTGTAAAGTTACGACATCGTGGTCCACTCACATTCATGTGTCAGCTGCTGGTTTTTCCTATTTACAAAGCTCGCACGTGAATATATTCATGCACGGGGTAAATAGGTATGCATGGGCCATTATAGCAATGGCTACCTTGATAGTCTACTATGCATGTGCTTTACTAAGCAATCGTGAAATCAAAGCACAGGCCTAGTGCGCATGTGCAAACATCGCCTAGCTACACGAACAGACGGCAGCACACGCACAGCACCGTTTTGCTGAGATAACTGACGCATAAACTCGACATAATTTGGGTGCATACATATGAAGTACAGTAAAACAAATATCACATGGTTTGAGGGTCGATAGTAGCTATTAGATCCCCTCGGTATTGAAAGTTGAAAAAACTAGTTCCTGCTTCACCCCAGAAACTAGTTTGTCAACTTCCAAAACCTCAGGGTGCTGATATCCACTATCCACCCTCAAACCATGTTATGTGTTGCTTAATAAATGCATGTGCTTAGAGGATATAAATCCAGCGACAAAATGACGAATATTGCCAGACAGGCGTTTGTTCAGCGCCAACTGATTTGCATACTGAAGCCTTGCCGCACGAGGTTGCTGTACGCGCTTTGTACAGTACGCGTGAGTGTATTGGCATGCGGCTACCGTTATCTTAGTGGCCGACCATTGATCATCAGACGCTATTGTCGAACGCCTTGACCAAGGTAAAAGGTTACTTGGGCTGACTCAGGAGGGGGATACTTACTGAAAGTTTACTTTGTCAACTTGAAACCTCGTTTCAAATATACCCGATGTTAAAACACGACACCGCAGGATATCCTAAGAAATAAAAAAACAAAAATCATTAAAAACAATTCAAATCAAGCCTCGTTATTTGAGAGAAAGTTGGATTTATTTGTTAGAAAAAGTTTGATGTTTCTTGAAAAGAATAAACTCCACTCTTTACTTTTATACAAAGCTACTCTTTTGTTTTCAGAGGTAAGCATCTTGTTTTCTGAAATACTCATGTGAGGTTTTTTGGGGTCAGTTTTTTTTGTCTCGTGTCTTAGTTCCTGCATTACTGATGCATTTAAAAAAAATGTTTATTTGGTCAATCGTTTCAATGAATTTTTCACTGCCTCTTACATACTTGAATTTTTCGTCTTGCCATTTTTACATTGATTTTATTGAGTCATCAATTTGGGGTTTTTTGGGTTTTTTTTGGTATTTTGGTCATATTAATGATATCCTGTTACTTTCTTAATTATTGTAAATTTAATATAATTAAATTACACATTTTGATCAGTTGTACTTTTCTAGAATATTTATCATAATTTGTTAGTATTACTATTAGAAAGTAAAAATGTTTATGTTGAAGAATTTGTGGGGGGGGGGGGGGGGGGGGAAGAGGGCTAAAGGGATAGGGCTGTGCCGAATACTGATAAATCTTTTTATTTGAATATTCAAAAATTTGAGAGGTCTTGAGGAGATGATGAAAAACATCCATGCTGTTTTTTTTTTGTCATGTAAACAAAATTATGTATTAAAGTTGTGTGGTTTTATATTTTGTCAAATGCCATACTTTATTCGACATCCACTTTCGCGCATGATCTGAGCACTTCCATGAACAAATTTAGCTCACAAATTTCCTCTTTTCAAATCAATCGAACAAATTTAGCTCACAATTTTCCTCTTTTCAAATCAATCAAATATCAAAGCACTCAACTACCTCTTCTTCATATGATACTCGATTAAAATTGTTGTCAATTTTGGACAACTGTATGAGCGTTCAAAAATCCCAATTGGCTGGCCAGGTCCGGGCTGGCGTTTGTTAAACAGCCCATTTTGTAGATTTGAATATTCGATTTAGAATAATCAAATGTACCCAATTATTCAAAACTGCACAGCCCTAGAAAGGGATTGGGAGGGGGGGGGGGAGGAAATCAAAAGCGTCTTACCTGTTCACTTGGACTATAATCTGACTGGCTAATATCATCAACTCTATTTAAAAAACTGCAGAAGAAGAATTGAAATAGGAAAGAGAGAAACGAAAAGTATGCATTAGAAAAACGAAACACACCGGTGTACAAATGAATTCATACAATGCAATTCATGGTGAAATCACAGAAAATATTTTTAAAATTTGAAATTAAAGGAAGTGTTTTCAAGTTTTGCATTCTCTTTTATTGACCGCAACAAAATGTGCTTCATCAGTGTACTGGGGGAACCATACAATTTAATCCTAAAAAAAAAACCCTTCAATTTCAGGATTCCTTCACAGCACTAGGCACAGTTGACTTTTTATCATACAGGGCGATTCCAAAAAAAGTGGAACCCAAACCCCCAAAATTATATTTCATATTTAAAAAAATATGTAGCACCAAAAATAATAATGACTGGGAAGCCAATTTCATAAGATACTTTTAGATGAAAAAATTACTGAAATTGCTTAATCCGTTCAAAGAATTTCACCATTTATACACAATGACCCTAAAACCTCTTTCGTCCAAAAAAAGTGATTTCAAGAATCATGGTCACAATTATTGTCTTCAAACAACAACAACGATAAAACCTCAGTTTAAAAGTTAAAAATATTCAACAAAGTCCTTTTGAAGGCCCGTCTTTGAAAAAAAGTGGATTTTATAAATCGTAGTGTTTGCCTAACCAGGGTTGTAATAAAGACATAGTGTACTACAGTTGTTAAAGCAAGTATTCTGCGTCGTTTTCTTTGTTGTTCCAAACAGTCAGAACACACAATAAATTGGTTTTTTTTTTGATGAAACAGGTTTTAGGGTCATTGCGTTTAAATGGTGATCTATTCTTTAAACTGATTGAGCAATTTCAGTAATTTTTTCATCTAAAAGTAGCTTATGAAATTAGCTTTCCAGTAAGTATTTTTGGTGATACACATGTTTTTAAATATGATATATATTTTGGGGGGTTTGGGTTCCGCTTTTTTTGACACACCCTGTAGCTTCAACTATAATTTGTGCATATCTTAGGAGAAGCAAAGTCAAAGAAATGGAACCAAGTCTGAATTTTCATTCGGAGAATTTTTTTCTATAAAATGGACAGATATTTTAAAGCTCCAAATTATTCCATCTTCAATAACAAGATAGACCACCTCCACCTGATATTTACAAGCTTTATTCGGAGGAAATTTTTACAGAAAAAGACACATATTTTGCGCTCCAAATTATTCTATCTTTGATGACAAGATAGACCACCTCCACCCGAAACAGAGTTAAAACTGAACCCCCAAAAATCTCAAATTTAAGGAGAGCCCACTAAGACAAAAGGAAAAAAATGGAGAGAGAACTAAAAAAATCCAACACGAATTATGCAAAAGCCATGCCCATCCCTGCTGTACCACATGACTCAGATACTACCGGCCGGGCAAGGACGCAGTCTAGGCAATGACGAGACACCACCCCCCCCCCCCCCAATATTACAAGCAGTATTACTGCCTGCGCGCTCTCGGCCACATTCATGTGCATTTTTTTCTCTTTACACAATCTAGCATGTACATGTACATGTACACGGTCATTCGGGCTAACAGACACTACACACCATAACACACACACACACAACCATCTCTGTGCAGTGTTCAGCAATCCTCTCTGTGTGTGTGCGCCGGCCGGCCCTGTGGACGGGGAGTATTGATTGCATTTCAATGGAGCGTGTGGCTATAAATAGCTCGGCAGGGCTATTTTTAGCCCAGAGCAATCATGGCGCGAGGAAGGGTAGGGCCCCTGCAGACTAGTGTGGCCCGTGCTCACATACAAAAAAAAAAAATCCCCATTGGTGGGAGAAAGGGAGGAATTAACATTAAGTCATAGATCTGAGCTTGGGAAGATGAGACTTGAAAATTATAGTAAAATGCTGAATAGGTAATGCGAGAACACCGGGTCCATTAGTGTATGTTTCAGTACGGTCCATTGAAGCACTTTTTCATTGGGCAATTTTTAAAAACCTCTCACACATGAATTAATGCATTCACGAGTGTACAAAAAAGAGGTGTGCACAGTGGTGGCTTGTCCAAATATTGACTCAGTTTTCTTAAATTTAGAAAGTGTACATTATCGATGGCCTGTCTTTTTGTACAACACAAATACATGGTGGTAATTCCAAATCACATTTACAATTTAAGGGAATGTACATCATTTGCTTTTGCGGTAATTTTCAGAAATGGATGGCTTTGGGGGTTAGTATTCTTTTATAGCAAAGATTGTAACACTGATCTGTTTAAAGTTTAGTGTTCATAGATGCTGGAAAAACCAAGCCAAAAAAAAGGTGTTGATCTTGTAGTCTGGTTCCCTGATCCGACTTCAGACCAAAAAGAGGAATTTATAGACGTCAGGGAATTGTCAGGTCAGGGAACCGGACTAGCTGGCTTGCACTTGTTCACGGATGTGTAACCAATAGCAAAGAAAATGTGGTCTAACTAAATTTGGTGGATTAGGGGAAGTATCTGAAAAAATTCAGTTTTTTTCAACGACGGTTGGCCAACCATCATAGGAAATTGATACAAAAATTCAATTTTTCTGTGGAATTGACAGGTCAGGGAACCAGACTAGCTGGCTTGCACCTGTACAAGGATGTGTAAACGATTGCAAACAAAACATGGTCTGACTAAATTTGGTGAATTGGGGGCAGTATCTGAACTTTTTTTAGTTGTTCCCAACGATGGTTTGCCAACCATGATTGGAAATTGATACAAAAATTCCACTTTTCTTGAAAACGACAGCACTTTTCTCAACAACGACAAAACACCAGGTGCCATGATTTCACAGGATACTTGAGATTATTATTCACTCACAGTCAAGTAAGGCATTTCATAATAATTTGGTAGTTTTGTTTTTTTAATGTTTGCAAATGTTGTATATTACCTTCAAGTTAGCATACAAATTGAAAAATCATCGGGAAAAATAAAATCATATGTTCAGAGCATGGATAAAAAAAATACTACAGAGTTCTCACATGCAATAATAAATAAACAAAAAACAATTCAAGCAGATTGCGATTTGAATTCGTTCTTTAAAATTACTTAACATAATTAATGGCCTAGCTGGCCTCTCATACAAACGGCAGTATGAGGCCAGACAGGATGCCATGCCACAGCTGTTAATGCTGAAACAATTCCCACCCCTGGCAAAAACACACAACACACACAAATTAAAAAATGAACAGTACTTTTCATTGGTCTGCGTACATTGTAGTTCATTCGTTCAGCGCCTAAGAATGTGTCCAGTCAGTATCTCCGAGACAATTTTTGCCGATTTCCTCAGGCTGTTTAAAATAAAGATTTCCTTTTTCCCCCCTTTTTTTGGGGGGGGGGGGGTGTCTTATGTTTGCAGAGAATTTCAGTATTGGCGCCCAGTGACGTATAATACAGGACGGATCGTTTTTTAAATACAAGCTAAAATTTTTGTTTCGTTTTCCGAACACTCTGCAACTTATACAGGCTGTGATGTCATTCGCACCATAAACTGATTTCACTGTACTGTTCATACATGTACTTGGTCAATCTTAAAATACTTTCTGGCGGCTGAAAAAGATACAACAGACGGTCTTTGACAATAACTCTGGGGAGATAGGATAGATCGGTTTGTTACTTATTTTCTTCTTTCAAATTTGTCATTTCGATTTCCGGAAATTTCGACATTCTGCAACTTATACAGGCTGTGATGTCATTCGCACTATGAACTGACTTCACCGCACTGTTCATACAGGTCAATCTTAAAATAATTCCTGCCAGGTAAAAAAACACACGACAAAACGGTCTTTAAAAATAACTTTGGGAAGCTGCGCAAGGGTAAACAATCCAACAAGCAAAAAACAATTTCTTCAACATGCGTTTGCCAACTGGACTAACAACTCTGTAGGTTATTTATAGCCATCAGGTTCAAGACAAATGGACTTTTACAGGATTTATACAGAAAATCAATGCTACGTTCCTTTTCCCAAAAGATTCTACATTGACTTGGGATTTTTTTATTAGAAATTACGGCTGCCTACATGTACACGCATGTCACGTAAGCCATGGTTTTGGGAGGCTTTTGACACATTTGTGTTATTTTATACACCGTTTCTGACGTGCTGAATTTTTTCTTCTTCTCAACAACTGCACCAAATGGGTGTTAGAATATTTTTGGTGGGGGGAGGCAACAATTTTCAGGGCATTTCAAAATCTTCTGCACACCACTCATAACTTGGATGAGGAGAGAGATCACTTCAGCGGACAATAGGCTTGGCATGTACACACGTAAAAAAAAATCATCATATAAGCAAAAAAGAGCCTACCGGTACATTGTGTGAACTGTGGAGGATCTTTTCCTTCACCTTTAACCCTGTTCAAGTACATGTACACTAATAATATGCCAAGTTGGGGGTGACAGCGTAATATAACGGTTCCTATTGAGATCAAAGTCCAGCGAATGGTATGCTAGCCCTGTCCACTCCCACAAACCGGTACCATGTTGGTGCACTCATTCATAATACATTTAACAATTGTGATGTGGGATTTGGTGTTTTTTTAACATCCCGATGGGCGCATAGCACTCATAAGGAAGTCAAGGGTGCCATGCACCCCGAGGGGGCTAAAAATGCCCCATCCCACATCACAGCAGTCGACAAGTGTTTTGTTATATCGTGCCAATAAGTCAAAAAGATAAAGGCTTGAAACTTACATGTACTATGCAAGAAATAAATGAAGCTATGGGTACTCTGCAAGGGGCAAGGGGAAGGGGGACCGTGGTTGTCTGTGCCAAAAAAATGACCTACAAGAGCTTGGACTCCAAAATGAGAGACAGTAAGAAGTATTTCGGGTTGAGCGTCTTTTCCAGTGACATCAATCACAGAATTTAAAGATATACATGTAGTCCATCATTTGTAATTTGTGCATTTTGTTCGTTTGAAGCAACAAAAGCGTTCAAAATCTAATGAAGGATACTGAACAACTAACCTGATGAAGTTTCAGCTAAGCTTCAGCTGTATATTCCGAGAAAAACAGC